ATAGGTCCTTTAATCACAATAATGTCTGATGTTAAGCGTAAATCAGGAAACCTGATCCGCTCTGCGAAAATCAATGTCTCATCTGTGTTACACAGTTGAAACATCTCATTACCGCTATCAGTCATGATTGTTTTGTAAATCCGGAGTTGTAGTATAGGGGTAATAGTGGTGGATTCCTTGGTGGTTGCTGAACGAGCATAGCCCCGACTGAAACCAGCACCCTCGCAACAAGGCTGTGAAGCCTGTGCAAGAGTGCCAATCCCACACGAGGCCGGCTCAGTCCCGCCTCCTCCACTGGTAATCCGGTGTTGTAGTGTAGGTGTAGTAGTGGTGGATTCCTTGGTGGTTGCTGAACGAGCACAGCCCCGATAGGAACCAGCACCATCGCAGCAAGGCTGTGAAGCCTGCGCAAGTGTGCCAATCCCACACGAGGCCGGCTCAGTCCCGCCTCCTCCACTGGTAATCCGGTGTTGTAGTGTAGGTGTAGTAGTGGTGGATTCCTTGGTGGTTGCTGAACGAGCACAGCCCCGATAGGAACCAGCACCATCGCAGCAAGGCTGTGAAGCCTGCGCAAGTGTGCCAATCCCACACGAGGCCAGCTCAGTCCTGCCTCCTCCACTGGTAATCCGGTGTTGTAGTCCAAGTGTATTAGTGAGAGTTTTAACACTTTCTGCGAATCGTAGAAAGATGTTTGTTTTACTTCCGCGACAGTAATGATATGCCGCTAATAAGGTAAAGGTAAAACGGGTGCTAATGATCGGTATTAAGGGCCCGACCTTGAAGTACACACCCTGAACTTCTAAAACCCTATATGCTCAGGTGTGAGTGAAGGCTGTGAGAGCTCCAAAAGAAAAAGGGATCAGGGGATTGTCTACACATATGTAGTGATATTTAGTGATATTTATAGGTTTTGTTTACTTTCTGAGTACAGGGACCACATCTCACACACGCACACTTCCGCCTCCTATTCAATACACTAACCCTTATAACATCAATCAAACCATATTAGGCTCCCACGTTTCACACTTCTCATTGGTCAGTACGATTCCCGCCATTTTCACTCCACACTAGATACATACCTACACACTTCACATCATGCACCTGTTCACCGTTGTAGCACTCCATGCTTCTGTATCATGTGTAGTATATTTAGTAGTAGTTTTAGGAGTGTACAGTATTTACTATAAAAGTTTGTCGTCGTATAAACTAATTTTGTTATGAATTTTGTTATGACTTTTTTGTATCGAATTTTTGGATAAAGTTGATTGATTAAAAATAAATTAATGTACACAAATTTTGCCTCAGATATATGTTTTTTACGTTTTGAATTTTTAACACTTGTTTTTAGATCATGAATACGATGTAGTTACATTGAAACGTCGAGTAATCTCCTTTCCCTAATAAGAGCATTTTTACTTGTCGCAACAACCGGGATAAAGATAATTTTTACCCAGAATACATTACAACAATGCGACTCATAAATAATACTCCAATCCGGATTTTACAATCAGAATTTTGAATAAAAGAATAATAAAAGTAATACATAATTATACAAAATTAAATGCTTCTAAATAAACCCAAATATAAAAGAAGAGAAACCAATATAGCCCAAATATCCAATAGCCCAATATATCGAAACCAAAATTATGCATTGAAAGACTGGTCACAAAAACATGGAAGTGTGCAGTATTGAATAACGCAGCCCACAGGAGGACTATAGTGCAAAGAAACTGTGAGCAGCAGTTACCAGCAGTTTCTTTGCACTATAGTCCTCCTGTGACCCGCAATAACATTGGGCTTTGCCTAACAAAAAACCAATTCATCAATGAATTCAAAGGTATAATATTGTATTTATAGAAAATATAAAACTCTCAGGGCAAGAAAGGTCAAATATCCAATGAATCAACTATACCCCACATTAAACCGTGTTCTACATTTATCAGCTTGAGGAAGACTGGTGATAGACAAGGCCACATCGCTGCTAAATACTTGGGGCAGAATTCCACTCTAGAGAATCAACAAAACCGATTTCCAATCTAAGGAACTAATGACAGTACATAATATATATAGATACCGATCCATTACTGAAACAATGAAGATAGTGAAGAGTCATCAGCCCATATCCATGTATTCTCTCTTTAAGAAGTCTGAGCTCAGAGATGACAGATTTGTGACACCACACTCATCTCACAATTTCGCATATAACGGGGCAAATCTATGGAATACGTTTCTTGAGCAGTCAAATGCACGTGGTAAAATAGGTTCACTAGGCTCAATTATATCCCTATTGAAGCATTCTATCATGACAGCTCAACACCAACCTGACAATATTAACTGGCAGGACGTAAACTTCAACACTTTCCTATGAAAAGACCCATATTTATATTTATATCTTTTTCATTTTACACCTGTCACTCACATCATATATACACCACAAAAGAAACAGATTCAGTCAATCATTACATTCTACACTTACTCCACCACACATGCACACAAACCATTGAAGCAGGTTACACGCGGGTGTACCGTTCACTTTATCTGAAGGGAAAAATGATACTTTACGTAACGCGCGATTTACGTCTTGGTAGCTAAATTATTCAAGCGCTACTAGCCAGATCGACACAAATGCGCGCATGAGCGCTTGCGCAGCTCACTTATCCAACACTCATTACTCATATTTACATCGTATCAGGCAATAGTTCAGTTTAATTATGTTAAGGGCACAGCCGTGCTGAGTTATCTAGGTGGAAGATGCTAGGACACATACTGAGGAGCGATGAAAGATCACCAGCTCAAGCTGCGCTGTGTTTTGCTGTCGAGATGTGTAGTGAAGTTGGTAGACTCGGGGCTCACAGACGTAACCTCCTACACCACCTGAAGGTTGACCTCTGGAAGCGTTTCATCTTGCTGGAGTCGTATGATGATATTCTCCATTTGAGAGAACTTGCTAGTGACCGTGGTTATTGGAGTAAATTGTTCAATTTTATACTTGAGTACAAGTCAATTTGACTTTTGGGACATATAATTTTACAAAGGATCACGTTTCGGTTCTAAATTATTTTAGGATTGTTGACATTTGTAAGATTGACATGTTCGATAATAATAATAAAGGGCACAGCCTGTCAAAACCATTTGCACATGATCGGTCGACACCGCCTGATCAAGATGACTGCATAATAACGGATCAACGTGGAATCAAACGATAATAAGCTTGCAGCTTCCGATGACAATGTGTTCAATGTTGGTTCTAATCTAGTGTCATGCTTGAGTTGGTTTTGGACCTCTTCATGCTTTTACTTCAATTATTATTGTTATTTGGTATTATGAGCTAAGATGTACATATAATACATGCCATATCTAAAATTCAAGTGTATAACGAGCATGTTTAACAATTTTTAGGCAATTATGTATTGCGAGCAGCTGTGACTTAAATGTCGCATGAAAATTATATAACTCAAAACTTAAATTTTACTGGAGTAAAACAAAGTATTTTAGTAAAACAAAGTATTTTATTTATTAGCAGTGCAATCAATTCATATGATATAATTATAAGAATATAATAGTATGTCACACCTATTTAACTGTTACGTTCGAGTAGTCGTGCCATGGCTAAATTTAATTAGGACCAGTGGTGTCAATTAACATTTAAAAGGTGATTCTAAGTGACACAAATGGAAAATTTTAAGAAAAGACGGATCAAAACACAGATCCAAGGACAAGAAAACCCCACTGCAGGACCATACATGCTATTGGCTTGTGCATGGCCCAAAAGGTTCCAGTTGTCCAGGAAACTGTACGTAGCTGGTCAACTAGTTTTGAATTCAGACTAGGCTTCATGAGTTCTGGGGTTTCTAGAGGTAAGGAATATGAAGAAAACTAATACAAAATTAATGTCAGACCCGTCGCCACTCTCAGCAGTCAAACCAGGGCTCATAAAAGCTTAACAGCTCCTGGGTCCTTTCACCAACTGTGCTAATGTGAGTGGCGGTGCGGTCAGACCCATTTCACACTTTAACAGCATTTATATTGATTAAATACAAGCGCGCTAGCTGCTAGCATACTTGTATCATTAAATTTTAAATCAAATTTTTTTGGATATATATTTATTGATTATGTATTGAATTGGTGATAAATAATAAAATTGTCTTTTCTCAAAAAAATTGTCTTTTCTCAAGGCTCCTTCTTCGAGCTAATGACCCTAAAGTTCCTGATTACATGTACTTTGTCCGGCTCTGGAGTCCCCCCGGGATCATATCGTCCGTAACATTTTACACAATATAATTAAGCTACAATAAATTATCTATAAAATTTACATAAACCAAATTAAGAGACTCCTCTGATTCCCCTGAGTGCTATGAGTGTGCTTCGTAGCAGATCAAACCTGAATCGTGTTCTGATGTGATGTTTGACCTGGCTCCTAGCTTCTTTATTGCGGTCAGCGATACGAGATACGATCTACGAAGAAAGTGTAGAGTGGTCCCATACCTCCAGATGTATTTTTAGTGAAACATGTTTTAAATTCTATCCTTTATTTACGATTAAATGACAAAAAACATAATCTTAATCTACTTTTTAACTGTACTATTTTAATGTACTATTTTATGATGTATACAATTTTACGGACGAAATTATCCCAGGGGGGAATCCCAACCCACCGCTCCGGCGGTTAGTTGATGCACTGTTCACAAGCAAGAGCCACTTTGGTCTACTTGCTGTGAGGTGTCTCAGGGAGGTTGCCTTTTTTTAAAGGAAAAATAATCAAGATTTAACTTCTATTCCTTGTTATTATATTACAACACACACAACCTATAAATCTAGGAAAATAGGTATATTATTATATCTATACACACTGTCGTATGACACCAGATTTCTGTCAACAAGACAGTATTTAAGCCGTTATTTTATAGTGTTGATTGAGTTTTAAACGGCTTTGCTTGACGATCTAAAATTTGTATACAGCAAGATTTAATTCATTAACATGAATTGTTACCATCAGGACTTAAATAATAATATCTAGGTACCATGTAGTTTGAATGGCTGCCAAAAAGACACTATGGCTACAAGTTAGTCTTTCAAGTAACTTGGCCAAAAAGAAAAAGGTAAAAATCCCATTTGATGATGGTGATTATGAAAAAGCTTTTGAGGTTCTTACAGATACATGTAGAAATCTTTTAAATCAACATCTCAAATCACCTGATGAAGCTCCTGAACTTGTAATGGTGTACAAACCGGAAGATGAGTTAGAAGGAGATGATACAGAATTAGGAGAATGTGATGATTTGGAGGGAATGCTGGATGAATATCCATCCGGAAAAGGAGTACGTGTTATCATAAACACAGATGGTAAGCAGAAAATATGATTATAAAACCAGGAATATTTTACGAAATATGATTCATTATTCCTAATTTGGATTTCTTGATTTTTTGTGTGCAGTCGAATCTTATTGATACACATGATGTCTTTTTCTGATTTTTTGCTTCTTTGTAGTTATTATTCAAAGATAGCAGCACCTTTAAACAAGACAGGTTTTAGTTAAGCAAATGATTTTTTCAGAGTTTGAAGATAGGTCATTCTTTGTTGGTACTACTCTACAACAAAGTAACAGGTTTGAAAATTTGCATTGAATTTGTAAAAACCTGGGATTATCATGAATTAATCTTGTATTTTGAAAGGTTTGGTTTACTGTAGAATGAACTTTTGACTTTGATGACCACTTATGAAGCTTAATATTTGCAGTAAGGTGTCCTCGTGGTTAGCTCATGGTGCTACAGCTACTGATTCTGATACAGATGAGAAATTGAACAGGAGTTCCCGTACTTCAAGCCCTGGCACCAGCCAACCACGGAAGCGACAGAAATCCTATCCTGGACAAAGCACACAAAAGCAACCTAAGTTTGTGATTTGAATATCTAAACTTAGTTGGACACAATCTATAATAAATTAAAATCTGTCTAATTGAATTCAAAAAATTGTGGGTTATTTGTGTGGTTATATTATAACAGTTTAGGTCAGGTCTTGGATCTAATTATGATAAACATTGTAAACATTTCCATTGACCAGTGTTCTCGAACTAGTGATGCAATGTTTGTTAATATTTTGTAACTTTAGATATTATTCTCCTCCTTTTAAACCTATCATAATTCATAATCCTTAGGACAGAAACAGTTCAGAAGCCAAATTCGTCCCAAGAAACCAGCCCAGAAGTTTCTGCAAATGACTTTCTACGGGACTTGGATGGGAAAGATGGAGGATCGAGTGCCATCCCACAATCTGACATAGACCGAACACTAGATTCAAGTGGCAGCGATGTTTTTGTTGTTATTGATCGACCTCATGAGTGAGTTTTTTAGCACTAGCCAGGTCTGGTTCGTCCAACGTGGTCATCTTGAATTCTTAGGTCATGTATTGCACTTTATTTTAACTTATTGTTTCGGCAAAAGAAACTTTTAAAAATTATAAAACAATTAATATTATAGATGTCTTTCAGTGTACAATTGATGGAAGTGGATGAGAGTGTACAAATGGTGGATGAGAGGGATACAAAATCAGGAGAAGTTGATGAGAGTATCGTTATACTAGAAGCCCCATCTAGTCAATTCAACAGAGATGGTGGAGAATGTTTACAATCTGAAACAACTGGTAAGTGTTATGATGCTTCGGCAAAACTCTGTTATCTTTAAATATTTATCAATCGTTTTTTGCTGCAGATGCTGGTTCGTTTCATTGTTTCCCCCATTTCATCGACATTAGTTAAATCAATTACGAATGAACCTACGGATCATGCAACAGCACCGTCCTTGTTAAATGTTATGGTATTTTCAAATAATTAATTTCAGATATTGTTTCAACCGAGCCCCATCAAGTTCAACCCTATAGTCCCGATAAGACTGTGACTTTGACAAGCGACGATACTATTAGTGATATCAACAGCGTCCCTTACCTTTCAACTGAGGAAGTGAAAGTGACTTTGAAGGACTCTGACCTTGACACTTTAAAAGAGGAGTTAATTTATGAAGAAATCCCGGGAAGTGACGCGGGCGAGGATCAATTGAACAAAGGAGAAAGTGAAGAAGTAGTGCCTCCTAAAGATAACAGTGTGCCGAAAGACACAGATATCGTACATGTCCGGGATAGAGAGAGCTCTGAAGAAGTCGATGGACCTGCAGTACCAGAGCCCAATGTAAATAATTCCAAGACAATTGAGGAGAATGATAAGGATGAAAATGCCAGCAAACGACAGAAAGTTGCTGATGCTCCTCCAGAGGGCGTTGAAACAGATGGACCAAAATCAGAGACAACTCCTAACACAGCTACTCCTAACACAGCTACTCCTGGCGATACAGCAGATTCTATGTCAGATATTGAAACAAAGAAGAATCCTCCTTCTGAAATCCCAAGTGTTACACAGTCCGGTCAGTTATTTTCTAAAGAAGAGGTTTCAAAAGTTGTAACTGAAGAAGTTGTAAGACCTTCACCTAATGCTGATTCAACCCCTTCAACTGAAGATGTTTCAAAACCTACTAATGATGCTGTTTCAAAACCTTCAACTGAAGAGGTCTCGAAAGCTGCAACTGATAAGTTTCCTGCCGATGACAACAAGCCTTCTCCGCCTGTTGTAGAAAGAGAAATAAGTACAGAAGAAAGACAGCAAATGTGAGTTTTAATTGCGGTTGGGGAGGGGGTGAGCCCTACATTCCAATTTACGTGACAATTCATTGTTTTTTAGGAATAATAATAATATAATTAATAATGAAGTGATTATTACGAGATTTGAAATAGCGTTTATTCAGGTCAGCCAATTTAACTATTTAAGTGGCTGAATCAATGACGAATGTCACGTTTCAGGTTGAGTATGTATATTACGCAGAGCTTGAACCTATCATCCCCACAAGAAAGTTCGGAAACCGACGATCCAAACCTGAGCAATAATATCACGTAAGTTGCTCATCTTAAATTTTCCACGAGCCATTAGCCAAGCCATAAATACTGTATGTAGGGGGCAGTTAAAGGACCAGTTAACTGAAAAAAAAGTTATCCTCATATTTTGACAGATTGTGACAAATAGCAAACTAAGCAACGAGTCGAAATTCCTAAATCTCTAACTGCTCTCTAACGCGTGTAAATAGCGTTTGTATTATTTTGGCGATGACGTCACGAAGTCCCTTGCGCGCGCAGAAGAGCTCGTGAGACTGTATTTTACAGGTAGAAAATGGACATAATACAATGTTTTTCCCCGAATAACTCGAAAAGTAAGTAATTTAGGGTACATGTTGCTTCATATAAGTTGTATATAAACATGGCTATTCTGCACAATTTGCACACATTCAAAAACCTTTAGGGCCTTCATAGCCCAATTTACCAGATACCCATAATTTTGCATGATTTCTGGAACCGAAAATCAATTTTTCGCCAATAACTGAAAAAGTAAGCACTTTAAGGCATATGTTTGTTCGTAAGTCATATATTAATATGCTAATTCCGGTTCTTTTGCACCCTGTCTAAAGACTCTATCACGATCCTATCGAAAATGGGCTCAGCACCACGCCCACAATGGTTTTTGGCGAATTTCTCGAAAAGTAAGGATTTTAGGCCATGTGTTGCTCGATAACTCCTATATAAACATGCATATGCGGCTTCGTTTAAGCCTATTTTGAAGTCTCTACGACCTTCAGAAACAAGGGGTCGATTACGTTATTGGGTCAATATGGGCGTGGCCCTCCTGGGTTTTCTCCACTGTCAAAAAAATGTCTCCAAACGAAAATCGTTTATTCATACCTTCGGGAAGGTCTGTGCAAAGTTTCGTGAGTATCTGAACATTTGCAGGTTCATTTCCATAAATGTCCATAAATGACTGGACTACACAACTTTAGAGTTAACTTTAGAGAAACTCATAAGTCATTTATCTCAAATTAAGCTGTTAGTGTCCATGATAAACCTGTGGCGACAATGTTTTACGTGAAATGTAAAAATCAGGAGTAATATAAAAAGTGTATTTTTAGATTAAAGTGCTAGCTCATAGTTTTAGAATTGTATAGATTAACGTTGGTCGTTTAACCATCTAACAATCGATCGTGCCGTAATATGTGGCCAAAGAATAATAGGGTCTTGGAAATTCTATAGTTGTTCAGTAGGTCGATTGACTGAACACGTTTGCACTTGGTATTTAAACTAACCAGTAGTTTATTTATGTTATGTACCGATGATAATGCAATTAGGATAACAACTAGGTAAGCCGTAAGTCTAATTCAAAACACATCGCACACCGTACACTCCCATCACTATTACTATTTGGTAGACCGGATATTTTGGCGGGAATTCTGTTCCCACGGCACTGTTCTGATAGAAGCTACTTCTACTAATGGTCCCAGAGGAACGGCCGTAAAGTAGCCAGACTTCTTGTCTCCTGTACTGGCTGACACATACGATTTAAAGTTAGAAATTTCGCTATGCTATAAATATAATTGCTCTCGGAATTGAACAAACTCCTACTTATCTAGATCCTTTCTAAATTCGTTAGAGTTTCATGGACTGGGGAAAAATAATCGGTACAGTCTCCCTGCTTGTGTAATTAAGCAATGAAAACAATCCAAAATTATCACATATGACATAAGAACTGTAATATCAGAAACTTTCTAACCGTACATTCACCCGCCACTGTTCAAGAACCTATATCACTGTTTAAAATCATGACGTGAGCACTGTACATCTAATCAGCTATTCCTTTAGTTAGGATGATAGCCAAAACTATAAGGATTTTGGAGAACTAGGGTAATAGTCATAATTCTAAAATTTGAGTGAGTTACACGTGTTTTAATGACAACGATAAACATTTGCAACGTATTACGCTGTGCCAGCGCGCACTGAGGGACTTCGTGACGTCACGAGGCCACAGCTTATTATTGCAATAACACGCGTTACACGTACGCTAGAGAGTTGGTTCTTTCGGCGATACGATTCTTTACCAGTTTGTCACAGCTGATTTAAATCTTAGCCAAATTGGAGACTACAAATTTTTCAGTTAACTGGTCCTTTAATATCTTTTTCGCCAGAAATATTTCCTGCTACCCGTCGCCTTGTCTATGCTTATTAGGTTGATGATACCGTGTGCGTTTACATTCTTAACTTCACAACCATGACCGCTTATCAATACTGGTAGGCAGTGCAGCCTTTAATTAAGGCAAATAATTATTAACTAATTCAACTGTTTTTAATTTCAGGTACAGTACCAAAAAGTCTACTGGAGGCTCCAGTACTGAAATCATAACTTACAGACGTACACCAGCTCCTGGAATGATAAGCTATCGTGATGCTCTGAGTGGACAACCTAAGCCAAAACGAAAAGGATTAACTGGGACTATTGTAGACACATTCAAACAAGGATATCAAGCCATAACGTAAATGTTTATTTTTAATTTTTATCGAGAAATTACTTGCACAAATCCTTATTTTACTCTTTGAGAATTGGGTTTGATCTTTTAAATGTTGTCAGTTAGGCTGGTATAAAAATCGTGAGTTTAACAAATTATTAGCAGAAAGTTTATTAAAAAGAGTAGAATTAGTAGAATTATTCTTGTAACCTTAACCAAAATTCAGGGACAAAATAACAAGCAAAAAGATCAACGTTAATTTCATCGTCCATGCTAAAGTTGCACAAAAATACTTAGCTCTAGCTTATGCTATTGGCAGTGTAAGCGCAAGTTGGAAGCAAGTGGAGTAAGTATAATATAATCCATATTTCGCTCTGTTTTGGGCATGATGCAACATGATATTGATTTTCTCCTTAACGTTGAGAATGCTTAATTACTCAGAAACCTTGTTCTTCAATCCTTCATTCTCACCATATCCCAATTCCCAAACTCATGCCATAACCCTTTGGCTCTTTACACCGGAAATTTGTATTTTCCCAAAATGGTAGACAATAATTAAATAATTCATGAAAGTGTTCTTTATATAGTTGTATACTATTAGTGTAGATTATATGAATCAAGAAATCATATTATCAGGTGCAAAGAATTTCTCGGAAAACCAGGAAGTGACGCTAAGGTCTTTAAAGCCATCATCGAAGACGTTCCTGAGGATTCTCGAATATTGTACAAGTTCCTCAAATACTCAGTCTCATATTTATACGCTAATAATGTGCAAAACGAGTGGGAGTATCTAGATCGCAATCAATTCCATACGGATGCTCACCAGCATGCAAATAGACTTGTTGTTATCGAAAACGGTAAGCGTTTATATTGAGAAGAGGTTTTGAATTGTTATTAATATTATCATATTATATATATATAATATGTAATTTTAGATCAACAATATTTATATTGGTTAGTCAGTATTCCAAAAACGCCCCTAATAACTCTGTTAAGTTAAGTGGGGTCTTCATCAAAATTCTCTCGAAATTGACTTCTCTTGAAATAGGTGTTATCTATCAACTGCTTTTGGTCCCATGGAAAAAACATACCTATCTCAAAATTCTGGCTATATAGTTCTCTTTTAACTGATCCTAAGAACATATCCTGAAAGTTTGAGGGCGATTGCTCAAAAAATGTAGGAGAAGGTAGATTTTTAGACTCGATTTGAAAATCGCTCACACAATACAATTACACATAAGCGCTGACCTTTGACCGGCGATAATTTCGGCTAGGAACAATATCTTCCATGGGACTAAAAGCAGCTGATAGATATCACTCCCCTCTACCCGAAACACTTATTAAGTCAATTTCGAGATAATTTTGATGGAGACCCGGCCCCTAAGTCGGATTAGCATTGAGACGGCGGAATGAGGGGGGTCACTGAATATTGATTATTCAAATTAGAAAGCTGTGTTTGAAATAGAACACAGATTTTGAGGAATAACCTAGCAATTTTACTTAGGAGTCCCTAATCGATTTCCCTAGTATCGATTTTCCGAATCGATTTGTAAAATTTAACGCTCATATTATATCATTATGTTGACCAACTTAAGATTCCAGACCAAAACTTGAACGAAACTATTCCATCTCCTTTTCGTTCTCAAGAGCAGCACCCATTTTAATCCCTTCATTGGCTCAAGGTGAAGGAGAGGATTGAGTTTAAGTTATGTTTACTGATTTTCAAAGCAGTCAATGGTGTTGCTCCTGCATATCTGTGTGATCTAGTAACATTTGTTAGTTCGAGTAGCAGAAGAACTTCCTCCTTACACCTACCTGTTGGGTCTACAAGATCGCACCCAAGAGCGTTTCAGACTGTTGCTCCGAAAATCTGGAACCAACTACCAATTGAAATTAAGACTTGTTCTGATGTTGATCTGTTCAAAACATTATTAAAAACTCACCTGTTTACCCAAATCCAGAAAGTTTTATATTTCCTCCCAGATGCGTTTTTTTCTAAATTCTGTGGCCCACTCGCTTTGCTCGCAAGTTTGCCTTTTTTCTGTGGCCCGCTCGTTTCGCTCGCAAATTTTGAACACTGGAGCAAGGCGAAAAATTTTGAATTTTGTAAAGGCATAAAAGCCATGGAAGCAATTTGGTTATAGAGGTCTATTTGAAACGCTATTTCCTATGATTTTGATTTTGAACGAACAATTTTGTATCGAATGTAATATATAATCGTTACAGTGATCACACAAATATCATGTATGTAATGAAATGGCCTTCAAGTCGGGGAAGGCCAGCCCCAATGTTGATATTGAGCACAAGGCAGAAACCAAGTCTTGTAAATGGATAAATTTCAAAATGTTTCACTGTGTTCCAAAACTGACAGGATGTTCCTCTTTGATTTTTATACAATCGAAAAATTTCTTCAAAAATTTCCTCTTTTTCCTCCCGTTTTTTCCTCCCAAAAAAAATGTCCTCCCAGAATGTCTGGCAAAATGGCGTGTTTCTGGATGTGGGCTTGTTTAAGAAAAGTTATGGCATGAGCGATTAATTGACAGTATAACTTTATGTTATTTGCTTAAACTGTTTTATTTAGGATGCAACCTAATGTCATGATCTTTTTGAACTTATTAGCAATTAGACTGATAGCTCGCTTCATAAGCATGTCATCTTCGTTCCAAAACTTTTTATGTCCTATGCATACACTCCTTGATAGTTATCTTGATCTAGTATCTTTGTTTCACACAATAGAGCATAAGTTTTGTGGTTTATCCACTGGGCTTAGAGTTTGTGTTTAAGCTACCAAATTTTTTTTTTTTTTTTTAAACCTCAAATTCTCATTTTGGAGTTAATAATAATAAATTGAAATTTAATAACACCGCTTTTAAGATAAAAGTTATACTCAGCAGTGTTTGAACTAGTCATCCCAGAAAAATCCCGGTCGACCCCTGGAAACACATTTAAATAATTGATAATGAGGATGATATGATGGAGGATAACATATAATTCAGGGTGGCCCAAAAGTGACTTCCCACACGCAACCTTTTAATAACTCACGTAATTCGTCTTCAAATTGCACCAAAATTTCAGAGATTATAGATATGGGTCAAACTTAGATTTCCTGAAAGTTTTGTAAGCCACGCCCAATTACAGTGGGCGTGGCGTGACACTGCCTCTTTTTCACTATTGCCTTCATAAAATGAGAACGCTTTAAGCTAAGAACTCCACATTTTTTGCACACATTTGGCTTGATAATTTAAAACCTTTCCCAAAGTTTCAAGTTCATTGTTTGAAATTTGGCTGAGTTATGACCATCTCAAAATTCATCGGATACGAGATCCGAGCACTCAGTCAGTGATCTCTGCACTTGGTTAATGGCCTGTTTGGCTCACATGCACCGCTTGATTGGTTGCAGGGCTTGTTAGCCCTGCTAGTCACAGGTTCGTTCCTTACAATCGATAAAAAGGAATGAACTATCCATTGAATCATCGAAAATGGTTCACTATCCTCCCTATACTGCGGAACAACGATTGTTTGTCTACCTGAACAAAGAGAATGGGGAGTTCTGCCCTCAGCTTAAACGACAATTTCAAATGAAATTCAACCGACCATCCCCTTGCCGGAAAAGCTGCTTTGATATGCATCACAAGATCAAGTTCACTTTTTCTGCAAAAGACGAACTGCGAGGACTGAAGAAAACATCACCATGGTTGTTTGTGACGTGATGGATACCTAAAATTGGCACCCGAAAACGAGCTCCTACCTTAGACCTCAGCAGAACATCCCTTCAACGAATCCTAAAGCGAGATCTTTCTAACCAGGGCCTATCGGATCACAAAGAAACACCAACTTTTAGACCGTGATTCCTGATTTTCCTGAAAAGGTCACGATCTGGTGCGCCATCAGTTCTCGTGGAATCCTAGGACCTTACTTTTACGAAGAATTTGGTGTTTTCCTGTCTAGCAAAGTCATTATCGGTATCCAATCAATCATGATCAGGTCGTCATCTCCTCAGTATGTTTGGTAAAGTCTAATGAACCTCATTAATACACGCTAACGCCTTACTCTTGATCAGATTGGGTGACGAGATCACTGATTGAGTGCAGAGATCACTGACTGAGTGCCCGGATCACGTATCCGATGAATTTTTAAATGGTCATAACTCAGCCAAATTTTGAACAATGAACTTGAAACTTTGGGAAAGGTTTTAAATTATCAAGCCAAATGTGTGCAAAAAATTTAGAGTTCTTAGCTCAAAGCGTTCCCATTTTATGAAGACAATAGTGAAAAAGAAGGAGTGTCACGCCACGCCCACTGTAATTGAGCGTGGCTTACGAAACTTTCAGGAAATCTAAGTTTGACCCATATCTATAATCTCTGAAATTTTGGTGCAATTTGGAGACGAATTACGTTAGTTATTAAGAGGTTGCGTGTGGGTAGTCACTTTTGGGCCACCCTGTATAACTTGGTCTCAAATGAATGTAGGTGTAAATAATATCAATTCTAACATTTTTTCTAATAAAAATCCAAAAATAACAAAAAAAACAATTTTCATTTTGGGGTTGGGTTTTTTGGGGTTGGACACCCCCCAGGTAGTAAAAAGGCTGCCAACCAAAACATCTCCTATCAAATAAGCCGAAGTGTATATGTCCGTCTTCTCTCGGGTTAGTAGTTGCTACTGCCTTGTTACTTTGTAAGAGATATATATTATATATATTATATATATATATATATATATATATATATATATATATGTTTACCGATTAATATACGATTACCGCTATTCTTAAACTCAGACACAACTCTTATTAGCAGCAATTTATTTTGTCAGAAAGCAAGACAGTGTACGTGGCTGTGAGATTCTCTTATGTTAGCGAATCGCAGCTTTTTCATCAGTATCTAGCTCTCCTTCAAGTTATTCAAAGTCAGAACCACTCCAATTTGGACATATGTATCCAGTTGGACTCCTTTGTATATGAAACACTTGTAGTCATTCCTGAAGTCAAACATCTGTTCAAAGAAGTAAGATTGACCTAGACTAATAATGCTCATTGTTAATTTTGGTTAAAATTGCTCATTTCAGGTCATATTGCATAAACTGACAATGCTTCAAGTAATAGATTATATTTTATTGTTAAAAATAGATCAATTATGTGGAAAAAAGTTGATGCCGACTTAAGATAAAAAGAGGAAATTAGCTAGTTTCATCGTTTCAGAACTTCCAAGGGCTCACGAGAACCATATTTAAACATAGCAACGTGAAATCTCGTCTAATGTTACTTTGGCTCCTACCTAATTTCTCAAGAAGAGTTAAAGGACAACATAGGAAAGACACTTTGGATGTGTCAACTGTTAAGGAATGCACTAAAATGCTCATTCCCCTGGTAGAAGATGGTTTAGAACCTCCAATATGGTAATTTTGTTTTCATTGTGCTTCTCTACGGTACTGTGAACTATTTTATAGTTCTATAGAGTTCTTAGAACATCATATAATTTAAAGAAAGTTGTGTTATAACTTTTTAGATAGCATGTTTCAATCGTCTTGGAAAATTCTTCTAAGAATAGATAAATATGACTTTTTTTCTCAGCGCGGCTGCTTTAAAGAAGCTGGAAAGGTTATTAACTATTCATCAAGAAGACTGCCCACAGCTTGTGATACCGCTGTATGTGATGAGGAACAAAGTAAAAGAATCCGGAATCATGGAGGATGAAGATGACTATATGATGGGACATCGCTTTAACGATCACTTTGATGATGCCAGATTCCCACTGTTAGTTTTGTATCAAATTATAAGTTGTTTAAGAATCATATTTCAGCAGCACCTTGTAACTTTATATATTACATGACGTATCGATATCGTCATACTGAATCTGTCTGTATGACCTATGGATTACATATCAAATTGATCAACTTTTCTGTATTTTATCCAATCACTCTTCAGTGACAGAGATTTCTTTGTTGAAAGCAAAGAGTATTTGAAAAAGGTGTCTGGTCTGCTGAAGTTCTGTGCTAGGTCGGCAGATCTTAGCGGGCTAACATATCTTGTGCAAACCTATCCAAAAGATGTTTCTGTGGACCTGATCGTCAGTTGCGTCAGAAACTGGGACATAGAATCATTTGTGAGCTCATCCATGATGACGGTAAATAAGTAAATTACATCTTCAGGAAATTATTATTATGGAAGTAGGAGATTTGATGAAAAATGAGTTAAAATGCTATAAAACGAGCTTATTTGTAAGGCGATGGACGATTATCGTCATTAACTAAAAGGTTGATGGCGATGATCCCAACTTGTATGGGAAGTCCTTCGTTGTTCGTTGTAATTATGTTATTCGCAGGAAAAGAGCATTAAAGCTGCTGCAAAGCTGATATCTAAACATGTTCTTTATAACCTGTAAGTTAAAAACACTTAGGTGCCATATTCGATTTTTCTCTGTATATTTGTAGAGACCACACAAATACATATAATAGAAGGTTCCGATTATACAAACTGAACAGTAAATTCTCAATTTTCTTATTGATATCACATTCCAGAGACAGTATAAATGTGACAGAAAATCTAGAGCAGATTCTTGACCGATGGGGTAGAAGGCTTCATGAGTATACAATGAGAAGAAACGTTAGTAAAAGAGAAACTAGGAGCTCAATTGCATACAGTGCGATTTTTGGAGGGACTGCTAAAGATGAGAGCTGGTTTAGAATTGCAGCAAGCATTTTCTCGGGTTTCTGGCAATGTTACATCATCTCTACAATCAAGTGGAAGAGCCCCATCAAAGACGTTCATTCTGCGCTCTTAAACTCCCTGCCAGTTAGTCTTATCCTAACTTTATTAACGTCTCTATCATTTCCTTTTCTCTATCATTTCCTTTTATGATCACAAATATCTGCAAACTCGTTTTAATGATCGAGGGAAATTATAATTTATATTATGTTAATGTTTTTTAGTTTTTAGAATTTTACAATCACATTCTACAGCTCACTTGGTGGACGACTCTATTCGAGGGAGTCCTCAAAACTACGCCTTTATCGGAAAATAAAGATGAGCTCTATGACGATAATTATCAAGCTGAAGCTGAGAAATTCATTCTGGAAAGATTCAGAATTTTCATGAACAACAAAGATGTGAGCAATACCAAATAAATAATATCTTCTCATTTTCTGTGAATTTTCCAATCCTATTCTGGTGGGGAGGTGAGGCATACTTTATAATGTGACAGTGTCCAGTGATTCTTGGTTTTGATTGGTCAATAATGGAAACTGATTGGTTAATTGCTCTCACGTGTCAACGAATATGCCTCACCTCCCACCAGAATCCACATCGATAATATTCATGTCGCGGATGTCTTGCTAAGTTTTGTTTTGCTTTAGAACTAAATGTAGATTTTCGTGGCCAGACCTCATTAAAAAGTTAAAACTTGAAGAGTAGACTTACTTCTTACTTTATAGGTTAAATGACAAGTGATAAGTGTTCTTAAGACTTAACCTAAGGTAATCCATTATTTACGGTAATCTTAAACTATTTCTCACACAGGACGAAGATAAAAAGAAGCTAATCGAAGATGATTCATTCCTAGACGAAGTGAAAGTTCCTCAAAAAATGATCAATGTGATGATAGACACCTTACAATCCTTCATCATAATATATTTGAAAGATAACCAAAGGTTCTATAACTCATCAAAGGGTTTTATTAAGGCGTTGAGAGAAATCCTCTTGCGAAAGTTTCCTACTGGGGTGAATTACAGCCACCTTTTAGTATCTGATACTAACTCAACTAACTACTTTCCATGGGAGATGATTTTTGAGCTGTCAGAGTTCAAAAATAACGATGTCGTTAAAGACGCTAAAGAGACACTTAAAGATAGTTACGAAGATATCCGTTCCAGAGATATGACTTTACAGATTCTAGAAAAGTTGATTGACGAGAATAGCCAAATTAACAATCGATTTCAATTCTTGGTTACGAAAGTTGTTAAAGTTCCTGCGACTGATATCAAGGTTTTTCTCTAATTAAGTAGTCTCTGGGAATTCGGGTTATTCCTATTTTTACTCTGATAGACTTAGAAATCATAAGTCGTATTTGAAGAATTTATCAATATTATTTTATATTTGGTAAACATGCAACTTAGCGTTATATCTAGCTAATGGTACTCATGAAAGTTAAAACAAGATAACATTGGATTTTATGCACACTTTTTGAAGTCCCACTTCAAACGAACAATAAGTTGTTTGCCGAGTTATGTCCATTTTCCATCACAACGTAAACATCATTCGATATCTATAAAATGTTTCAGGCGGTGTTTACTGAGGTGGCAACAGAATTTGGGGAATTTCAGATGATTCTTCGCAATTGTCATTTACTGATTGAATCCTTCGGGAAGAACAAAAGTAAGGTTCCGTTCTTTTTTGCAATTGAAACATTCACGTTATGAAGTGATTAAAGCTGAATTTCCTAAATGAAATGACTTTAGGCCTGTTGAATAGTCGAAGCACACGACGACGGAGGGATGTGTCGTGTAATGGATATGAATGAAAACAAGAGTTAACATACATTATCATCATCCTTTTCTGCTTATGCGGGTCAAACATTTCTTGAGTCATAGAACTGAGACGTTACACCCGAATAAAATCTAAAATTGAATACATTGATTGCCTGATTGTCCTCCCTTAATTCAGAAATGGCCATCCGTAGCCAAGTTAATAGGACGATATGCCCAGGCTTACGTTTTTAGCAGTTTGATGAATTTTTGCAGAACTCTTAGTACTGTTCCCTTATAGTATAGAGGTATAGTATATATTAGGGTCATAGCTCAGACAAGGCTGGTCGGTCGGAGGTCGGTCGGGCGCCGGTCGGCGGTAGGTGAACGCCGGTCCAACCTCCGACCGACCTCCGACCGGCGTTCACCTACCGCCGACCGGCGCCCGACCGACCTCCGACCGACCAGCCTTGTCTGAGCTATGACCGTAGTTAGTACTAACTACTAACTAGCAGTGAATTTCTCTCTAGGAAATAGGGATACGCCGTACGTTTCACCCTCTAATCCACTTCCAGGCATTGACGTGAGAAATACAATTCCTGCGCTCGAGCATTTCTCTAAAATGAAGATCAAAGACCTCTGGACCCGAACAGACAGTAGGAGATTTAAAGTACTGAGGCGAGGATGTTTTAGCAATTTATCGGACGCTCAAATTTTAACTTTACGGTATGTGAAGATGGTTGCGGATTGCAGGCTTTATGGGATATTGATAACAAGGCAATTCAATGAGACCGAACCTGAACAGTGTAATAGAGACGATCTTCTTACTGACCTCGTGATCAAGGTAAAGTTAATTGTTTATTTAATTCATGTTGTTTTTTAGTTTTGACGCGATAAACTACTAGCCATCATAGAATTGCCAGTGTCAATATAATACAGCAAAACGGAATTATTGAAATATTACATGCTTACTGAGTACTTAAACGTTCTGTACAAAGTTATCTATCGACTAACCATTTACAGGCTTATGAGCCAGCATTTTCTAAACTCCGCGGAATTATTGAGAATATCGGATCCGAACAAATCCTACAATCTGAGATCAAGAAGATCTTTAATCACACAGTGTATGGCACATATGGGGAAGTTAGGAAAGATTTGTTGCACATTTGCCACGCTGTCTCAGACTTGTACCCAGAGAGAATATCAGACAACACTTTTAAAAAGCTGGAGATTATTTTATCTGATCTGAAAAGTTCTTTTGAGAGTCTTGACTTGATCAAGAAGACGCTCAATATAACAACAGTCTGGAAGGATGTCGAAAAACTCCGCAAAACGGTAATATTAAACATTTCTTCATGATTAATTTCAAAATTTATGCAGCAATTTTTGTGAAAATAAGTAATTCCGCAAATCTTCACAACTAAAAACCTCAGGTTTGCAAAGAGCAGTTTGAGGAGGCACTCTCTGTTGTGGACGCGCATTTAGACCTGAGGTTCTTCTACAAGCTACGAGATACTCGGGAACTGGTGAACGGCTTTGCAAAGAGTCAGGAGCTTATTACTTGGATCAAGGAGATAGCTAAAGGTTTGATCAGGACTTATGATACTGTTAACACTTCTTAATGAAGATTTTTTCAATCTTCATTTGTGTTCCCCACATTGATTGTTACCTGGACAGTATCTGTAAGTGTAATATTACAATTGCAATCATGTCTACAATCCCAGATGAGAAGGACATCGGGACATTCATTGATCTGGCAAATACCCTGGAGGACGCTGCCACATCTGACAGACTGTCGGGTCTGCATCGTATCATACTCGCTATCCGTCCTCTGGTGTTTGATGTCAGATCTGACGGCCAGTTCTCCGACTTTCAGAGAGCGTTTGATAAGATGTACAAGTTTGTCGAGGGAGATACTCAGATCACAGATAGGCTGGTTCGTTTTTTCCTCGCCAAGATCAATGATTGATAAATATTATATTTGAACGCTTTTGATGATTATAAATCTATTTAGACATCATAATTTATGGGGCAACCTTTACGGCTCTCAAAATTGTTGTGTTTAACAATTATAACTTTTCCAGATTGATGTGACAGAAAATCTGAAGTGGTTTAAAGAAATGCAAGATTTACAGACTGACACGACTAAGAGTTCAATATCTCAAGTTGAAAACATGAAGGCATATGGACGCTTCATTGTTGGGTGCAATCAGAAACGAACAGGACTCTCTGACTTTTTTGAAGAGGTTACTTGAACTTATAGATTTTTGGACGATTTAAATCTCTGTTACAGCCAGTTAGCACACAACAAAAGTGTTAAATAAAGTCAATGTCATTCTGTATCCAACCCCTCACGTCTACAATTTACAGCGTAAGATCGACGACTTGATGAAAGCTGAGATAGTGTACGAAAGTGGGGATACAAAACACTTGAAGTACAAAGATCTGAAGGAACTAAACGATAAATTGGTGCTGATTAGCGGACAGCAGAATTATCACGAGAAAGTCCTCAGCTTCACCCAGGTATCTTGGCAGTTCCCCCATCATCCATTTCCCCCTTTGTCAGCTTAGTTATAGATGCACAGTTTAATCGTATGGCATGCCAGCCAAAATTCACTGATATTCTGAAGTTTTGTAGGCCACTTTGTATTATCTGCGGTAGCTAATGTGGCAAAGGCCTGTATAAAACTGAATATTAGTATACATACATATGGGCATCCATATATATAGATTAAAGTATACTGTACATGTATACTTAAATCTATATGATATATGGATTCCCATAGATTTTAAATTCAAGATGTCAAAAGATAATGTACAATTTATTCTATTATACTCAACATTAATGATTTAAGATAGTTAAATAGTAGCCTCCTTTTGTGGCCTTCTTTTTAACTATAATAGGGCTGTGAGCTTCACTCTAAAGCTCACTTCTTTATATTGTCCAATTATTGCACATAAATATTTGGCTCATAAGAATTGTCTTTTTCGGTGTCAAGTTTATAGAACACCCAAAACGGTAACTTTAAAGACTACGTAGCTAAAATGTCCCCGCTACCCGAGCCATCTTAGACACCCCTGATGGAACAAATAATTTACTTATTCACAATTGTCAGGTGTTTGGTAAGTTGACACAGATCTGTGATGTGTACAAGGAGCTTAATGAGTGTGGACATGCTAACTATCAGAAATGGGTGTACGAGCGAGATTTCAAGGAACCAGCCCAAGCTTGGGAAGATGTCAACAAACTGCACAAAGATATGCTTCATCAGGTGCTTACAATAACTTCTTTCGAACTTCGTTTTTAGACTGAACTGTAGTATAAAGGATTATCTCTCCAATGATCAAAACTGCATAGGAAACTGACCCTTAGAAGTCAAGTAATAATCGTTTCTAAAAGCTTGGGTAAGCTAAAATTTCACGCAAAATTGTCTACGCGCCAATAATTATGACACCCTGCTGTACATTAAATAGTTTATTTTGCTCTTTATAAACTACGTTTTTAGATTACAATTATGGATATCTTAACTCTGCCCCAATTAATTACCATTACCAACGTTTTATTGTTCAGTTGGAAGAAGAAAAGAACAAAATAGAGGATAAGATCCGAGAATATGCAGCTCTTACAAATTTTACTAGACTCCAGCTGCTGTATCTAAGAAACAAGCTCAGTGTGTTCAAGGAGGACGAGCCACCCTCTTATTACCATGAGACCCTGATCCTTCTACAGGCTATTAGCCCTCAGGTATATGTCCGAAAGAATAATGAGTATCATCTTTTATGGAATATGTACTTCACATTTTGTCAACTTTTTCGAATAATTCATTTTCTATTGATGATAATCTTAAAAATTCCACATTTTCAACAAAAAAATGTCATTCTAGATGTTAATTGAAATCTGGAAAAGTCTCATATCACCTCGATACAGTTGCAGTAACAATGTTATATCTGCAGGTCGTAATGGAAGATGTGAAGAGGCAGATATACATTATCCAAGAAGAATTTGAAAGCACTCACGAAAGAGATTTGTAAGTTTATAAGACTGACAGAGAGTGACGCAGATAATATGACTTCATTTTCTTAAGAAGCGCTTTTATTGACACAATATTATATTCAGAACCATGACATAATATCTAGAATTACTGCAATTTAAGGATAACATGATATATTTTAAAACATTTTTTTGACATAAAATCCAGGTTGTCAAGTTAGAGCCTAGAGGGACAATTTTCATTTCAACAAATTCAACGGTCAAAACAAAAACTATTTGTGTAAGAATTAAGAAACGTTAAACCCTAATTTTTCAGGCTGAGCATAGACCAACTGGGGAAAATACTGACAACACTAATGCAAAAAAGAAAAGAAGACAAGGGGGTTCTAAAAGATTACGATCTTGGACGTGGAATGATAACTCTGCTGAAAGTTCCTGCTCGAGACATGTTCAGATGTGTTCTGTCTCTGTTTATGCACGCTAACCGAGTACCCACTGCGGAGGAGGTCCTCTGTTGCACACAGGACACTACAGAAGAACAAATTAGCGTCTTCCTCCGACGAGCCATATTTTCAAACAACTTCAGACAAATAAACTGTCTAGTCAGCCCTGAGAAGCTGTCCTATCAGCTGAACAAACACTTTGTGGACGAGTACGAGAGGTTGTCTAAAAACAGCACATCAGCACGGCTCAACTACCTCTTACTGGTGATTACTGTGGAGAACGTTCCAAGTGAGATAGCGTCTTCTTACGTGTCCCGCCACAAACAGGTACCACTTGGAGACATCAGGAGAATAAAAGAGTTCACAGAAAAGACAATCCTACAGAATGATCAATGCAGATGCGATCCAAACAGACTGTCTGGAAGACTTATTCAGTCCGAAGGGTCCGGAAACGGAAAAACAAGAAAAGCAAACCTAATTCTGGACGAGTTTGCCAAGCAGTACACCTTATGCTGTGTTCCCATACACAAGCGGGATTGTGATCGGAATATCATCGTTAAAGAGTTTCTGAGCCACAAAAGAGATCCTGTCAGGAATACCATGTACTTGGTTGATGTATCACCTTCTGTTCGAGAGGGGGCTGACGTTTTTATTTTCGAGGTATTTATTTTTAACATATTATTTTCCCATGATTATTAGGATTTTGCTCTTGTCTTGAAACATTAAAATCAGTTTTGTAATAGGATTTGTAAGTTTTAAGCATGAAAACCACTTATCAAAACAATGTACAATATGTTGCAATATTTTTGCAGTTGCTGATTCTAAAGAAGATAACAGACAGTGCGGGCAGAGTTTTTAGACCATTCAATGGTGACTACGTCCTTATTGAGGGCCTCTTCTCCTCTGGACCCTTTATCCGCAACTTCCCCATAGACTTCACAAACTTCTTGCCTGTCTACGACTGTCTGAGTCCCCAACAATCGCTGGATATTTACAGAACTAAACAGACAACACAACATAATCAGACGCTTCTGGAGGTATGATTTAATACGAATTATTTATTTTTAAATCATGTTGATATATCTTGTAAATTTAGCACTTTTTATTTATTAAACCTTGAATAGTTGCATTACCCTATCTAAAATAATATTTAAAATTTGTCAGGCAAAACAGTTCAAATCAGAAAAGTGGCAAAGGGTCTATCAATACTTGCTGCAGTACCGCCTTACTGAAGGCACCATGGCTAACTTTACCTTCTCCTTTGCCAATGTTAGTTCAGTTTCGTGATTGATAAAGAAGTTGAATAAGAAATTGTTTATTGCATTTAATACTTTAAAATTACTTTTATTACATGATTACTATTTTACATTTTTGTTTGGGTGTTCCGTATTAAGATCTTCCATTTAATAGTTATTGTATTCTCTACGTCAGAACCTATCATAATCATTGAACGTTTTGTATAGCAATATACCCTTAGCTTACGTTAACCTTTTACTCTATTAAATATATAAAATCCCCACAGCCACTGATCGGAACTGAACACGAAGAAGGATGTGTTGATCTCTTCTTGAGATTTGTAAAGATAAAGGACCCATCATGGCGAGAACTTGATAACTTCGTCTGCTTCCTCAACACACAGCTGCTCTGCTACGAGAACTGCAGTTTTACTAACACAATCCTAGCTCCAGAGCTCGGGGCTCAGTTCAACGCTTTCGTAGTGAAGTTCATGATCACGATGAGCGAAGAGTTTGCAACAAGATCTCTTAATATCAGCGAAGGAGCTGACGTCCTGGAGGAACACGCTCTGGAGAAACTATGGGACAAAACATTCCATCCTTACCTCTTCTTTAACAACGACGGAATGAGTTTCACCTTCATCGGCTTCAAGATCCAAGCTCCTGGTGACCTTGTAGACGTGGTCACCGATGAGATCAGAGTTAAAGACTTTATGAACCAGGATTTGTTGGGTAGACTCCGAGGTCAGAGGGTAACATTTAAAGATGATTACAGCGCTTACACTCCAGAGTTGTTGATGAACAAACTGGAATCTGTCCTTGATCTGAGATATGGTAAAGTTAAAGCAGCTGTTGATTACCAACTAACATTGGATAACACGATCAAGATTCTAGCGATACATATGAGAATGAGATCAAACATTCCGGTGGTGATCATGGGGGAGACGGGATGTGGTAAAACCAGACTGATTGCCTTCATGTGCGACATCATTAAACAGAGTGTTTTGAGCAAGTATGAAGAGGAAAATGTTCCGGAGAATGTCAATAATCTTATAACATTGAGAGTGCACGGCGGCATAACATCAGCAATGATAAGTGCTAAAATAGCAGAGGCAGAGGAACAGGCTTTGTTCAACAAGGGTATTGATGAAAAGTTCGAAACCATTGTCTTCTTTGACGAAGCCAATGCTACATCAGAGATTGATCTGATCAGAGAGATCATGTGTAACCACACCATCAATGGCCGCAGAATCAACTCATCCATTCGATTCATCGCAGCTGTCAATCCATACAGAAAACACACACCGGTTAGTCCAGAATCTTTCTTATTATTATTTCATAAAGTTGGCCAGTCAACTACAATTTTAATGTTTGACCTTTCAAACTTGCGGTATATGGAAGAATGAAGAATCGTCAATTTCAATTTTTGCTTCTGGAATTTCCCTAAAATACCAGAAACATTCGGGTCAATTTCAATTGTTTTATTTACCAGGACATGATTGAGCTGCTGAAGAAAGCAGGGTTAGGTTATAGAACTGGAGAAGCAGATGTGGTAGATCGTATCGGAGACATCCCTCTCCGAGAACTTGTCTACAGAGTTCACCCTCTCCCTCCCTCCTTGAAACCCCTCATTTGGGACTTTGGTTCCATGGATAACACTACTGGTATTGCAACTGTTTTATTTGCCTATTTGGTCACTTGTGATTCAAAACTCCATAGTAATATAATTCCGCTATAATTACAACTTTACAATGAAGTTCGCTAATTGCGCTGCGCTTACCATCACCCCATAAAAACCTAAAAACGGTTAGAGTTTGTATTTCGGTACCCTCGTCTGTGGACTAAATACTCGTATTATTTCAGAAAAACAGTACATCACACTGATAATAAAGTCTAGTTTATCTGAGGAATCTATTAACGAGAGCTTCCTGCTGGGGACTGGTTGACATTATTTCCGGTTGTCAAGATGTTCTCAGAACTCGGACCGATCAGTGCAGCTTCGTGTCTCTCAGAGATGTCAACAGATTTATAGAGGTGCCTGATCTGAAATAACTGAATAGTACAGGGTGTTTCAAAAGTCTTGCAAGACATGTACTTTTTGGATACCTTTTAATCCATTTGTCTAAACTTCATTCTGTAAAAAGTTATTGGTAGTTCTAAGGTTTAATGATGACTTCTGAATGTTCTACGTTACCATTGTCACCATAGTTACTGAATTTGTTACTTCAGTTACAATTAAGAGTGTTACAGCGTTGCTTGAAGCTTTGAAGACATTCCAATTAATAATTATCCTTTATTTTCTCAGGTTTTCAAATGGTTCATGAAAATGACCCCCATATTTGCTGAGTTAGCTAAAGATCAAGCGGCCAAAGCTGGAACGGCTGATAACTATAACTTATCTGACTTCCCACTGGTAGTTATATCAGCTATCAATGCTATTGGAGTGTGCTACTATGTCAGAATAAGTGCGAGGGTGGAGTACCTTGATCTTGTTGCTCCGTACTTTAGGTTTGTCTCCTTTTTCAAAGTGAAATGAGCTGGAAGCTGTATCCTCGTTAGAACTTTAGAAATTTGATGTTCCGGTTCGAATTTTTTTCCTATCTACTCCAAACAGTGAATCTAGTAATACCATTACTTTTTGGATAGTCTATTTCATCCTTAAAATACCATACAAACACTTATTAAAACATCTGCTCGCCTCAGGAACCCGTTTCCTAACGTAAGAGGACACCAGTTACTAAATACCATCACCCGGACCCAGCGAGTCCTACTACACGAGATGCTCCACAACTCTGGTGTTGGGTTTCAGGAGGATGTTGCTGAGAATGAGGCTCTTAGAGAAAACATCTTTATGATGGTGAGCTTTAAGAGCATCTGATTTGCTATAATGATAGAAGTGACAATATCAAGATTACTTTATCAGTTTAATAGTCGCTAATACTCCAATCTCTACAGGTGGTGTGTATTGAGCTGAACATTCCTCTGTTTATAGTGGGACACCCAGGCAGCAGTAAGAGTCTTGCTAAACTTATCGTCAAGGGTTGTATGTCCGGACTGAGCTCTAACTCTCAACTTCTCGAACATCTCTGTCAGATTCACATGACCTCGTTCCAAGTAAGTTTTTTTGCTACGTTTTACTCTTCGTCACAAGCTCTCTTAGCGCCAGTCTAACTGAAGTCAGGCTATTTAAGAGCGTACTTTTTCTTGGATCGCTGATTTTTACTGTCAGTTTCTGACAGTGATACCGATTTTTACATGTAATATGAAACAGTGTCTAATGAAACAGTGTTTAATAAGATACCCAACATATTCCTAACGTTTTTGTAAAATGTTAGTAGAATACACTGTGTTCCTGCTCACGAGCATATTTGTACATTTATCACGCGTAAACACTGTCATTATTCTGAAGAACGGCTGTTATTTGTATTAAGTTACACATTTTATACACATTACACATCTAACCAGTGGTACTTACTATCACAAACTGACGGCTACATCACACATTACTAATGTTATTACATGTTTTACTCTACTTTCATTTCAATATTATGCTGATAACTTAGTCTTGTGATGTAATATTTTCTCAGCAATATTTTGTTAGATTACAATTAGAATGGATAATTCCACGTGGCGTCAGATAACAAGTTTGCTACAAAGTTTGGAATATTTGTGTAATACGATCTCCTATTTTCAGTGCTCGCCGCAATCAGAAGCTGAAGGTATCGAAAGGACGTTTGAGTCGGCGAAGAAGTTTATCTCAGATGAAAATAACACTCAGAACCGCAGGTAAAGTTGAAATACTGTACTCTACAGTACTGTACTGTACTCTACAGTACTGTACTGTACTGTACTGTACTGTACTGTACTGTACTGTACTGTACTGTACTCTACAGTGCTGTACTGTACTCTACAGTACTCTACTGTACTCTACTGTACTCTACTGTACTCTACTGTACTCTACTGTACAGTACTCTACTGTACTCTACAGTACTCTACTGTACTCTACTGTACTCTACTCTCTTCTTGCTTAAGTTTTGTTTTTTCATCAGAAATATTATTTATTTCTTACAAATTCAGTATATTAAGTATTCTATCTGGCCAGGTTAATGCCAGTTGTGGTGCTGGATGAGATAGGTCTTGCGGAGGATTCCAAGAAAATGCCTTTAAAAGCCTTACACTCCCTGCTAGAAAACAGTGGCTCCTCCGATCAGACCAAAATAGGATTCATTGGTAAGTTTCTTAATACATATTTGATACAAGAGAAAGGCCATTTTCGGACGTGAGGAGAGTTAGGACTCCTCCAACTACATTAAATCAATTCCTTTAATATTGTTAAAGTCTAGGTTAAAATACTCGTATGCTGCTGTGGGTGCAGCATAAGTTGCTTAATTAAGTATTCATAAACAATAATTATATTTATTAAGACATTGAGATATAATACATAGTTTAAAGTTTAAAGTATTTTCATAGAACTTTTATCTATGCTTGTTATAATAATTATGCCTATTTTACTTAGTTGGTTTATACATCGTATATAGGCCGACTGAGTAAAATATACAATACCAATGACAAGATAACAAATTACAGCTGTTAGTTTTAATATAGTGTAATATTATTATGTGTATATAAAGTATTTATAATTATGTATGATATGGATCATGAAATAAATATTGGTGTATTCTGGATAACACTTTCTGCAGGAATATCGAACTGGTCCCTAGACCCAGCTAAGATGAACAGAGGGCTCTACGTGACTAGACAATTACCCGATTTAGAAGAACTGAAGTCGACAGCTATAGAAATATGCAAAACATCCATGAGAGATAAGGTAATGTATATTTCAGAACTTTTAATTAGTTGATAAGATGTATCGTCCCTGAGACCAATCCTCTGTTATGATAATATTATATGGTCTTGCAATTTGCATTTATTGTTCGGACATTTTGCTACAGTTTTTGTTGACTTTATTATCTAACTAAATTTTAATCTATTTCTTAGTTCATGATTAACGTATGTTCATAATATTTTAGCTTAAGGACCAGTTGGGAAAAGTCGCCGAAGTCTACATGGAGATCTATGAAGACTTTAGTAAAAACGATACTAAGTCTTACATTGGTCTGCGGGACTTTTACTGCTTGGTTTGTGAAATTTGTTTTTTTTGTTTTTTAATTAAAAAATGATACTGCTGGTGAATAAATAAATGGTGTTATATATTTTAGTCCTACCACTGATTATAAAAGCTAGACACGGGATATTTTTCTAATGCTACTTTTAGTCTTCACCACAGTTAATCTTTAAAATTGCAGGTTAAACATCTGTGTAGGAAGGCCGAGGAGAAGGATAGTTTCTTAACTTCGGGAGACATCCTAAATGGAGTGTACAGAAACTTTGGAGGAATTTGTCGTGATGCCAACTCCAAGGTCATGAAGGCGTTTGAAAAACGATTTATTGTGCAGAACGAAATGAAGCCTAAGACTATTTCAATGATCAGAGAGAATCTACACTCTAAGAAACTGGAGAGGTTTATTTGTTCTTAATTTTAAGTCGGACTCTAATGCTGAAACACTTCAATTTTGAGATTTTAGTTTCAGTTGGCCCTGGCATGAATAAACATGTTGTTCCTTTACCTGAAGACTAAATTACAGTGTTTGTTTTTTTATTTTTTAGAGACAATAATTGACTTTTTAACATTGAGTTTACCTCAGTGGAAGCCGGTATCTTCTGATAGTAACCCCGAATCTGGAGACTACTATAGATACAGTTGATCAGGAGCTGAGAAACAGATACAAAAAAGATGACATCCATGGGTAAGCTTGTTGTCAACATAATATCATACCTGCTGAGTGCTGAATGCTTGAGATAACAATAGAAATGAATTAGAGTGAAAGTTGCTCGCCGAATACTGGAAAGTTCAAAGTGGTAACTCACTGAGCTGGGATTTTTCACCCATTTTTTATAGTTTAATTTGTTTCAGACGAACTCCACAAATCAAGTTCAACAGTGACTTTCCAGATGATGCCGACTACACTAAGGTTTGTTTGATCCCAAAGCAAAATTGTATATTTTATTTTACAACGGGAAAGCAGTGTATTGACCTCAAATCGTGCGCTGAATAATGAGTGGGGTGAAATATGATGTGAACTAGATTACAATCGTAAAGTGAACGACAATAACTTAACTATTTATTTACGTCTGTACAGTGTACACTATCGAGTAATATAAAGGACAATGATCTTAACATATTATTCATACTATCATATTATACTTACTACTCGTCGACTGTGTTTGAATGTGTTACATTCGAATGTAACTTGAATAAAGCTTAGGTAGGTATTGTGAACGCTGTCCTCATCATACATTACACACATTATGTTAGAATGTTGGTGCTATGATCCACGTGCCTCATTTCAGAGATGTAAGATAATAAACGACGTGAAGAACTCTATAGAACGTGGTGATGATATTATGCTTATTGACATGGAGATGATTTACGAGAGTTTGTACGACGTTCTTAATCAGTATTACAAGGAGTGGCAGGGGAACAAGTAATTTTAAAATAATTCTTTCAAAATATTCGCCTTGATTCTTACGTACTTTTACGTGGTATTAATTTCTATTTTTCCAGTTTTTCAACTGAATATGAAAATCATTATTAGTTGCAGCAACCAAATTTCTGGTTATGATTGGGAAATACATATCGAATTCACTTATATAATATCCTCCTTTAATATTTACGTAAGTGTGTAGTGTATACTCATTGTATACTCATTTACAGTGTACAGTATTAAATAGAGTTTAGAGGTTTTGACAGAAACATTACAAATTAAAACCCCAGGTATGTTGAGATCGCACTGGAGTCACACAGAGTCAACTGCAGGGTACATGACGAGACTAAGATCATCTTACTCGCTCGTCCTGACCAGGTGCGTGTCTCAGAGCCCTTCATTACACCTAATATAAAAATGGTCTGACTTTAGTATCAGTCTAACTCAGTAGTCAGTAACATGGTCAGTAGTCAGTAATATGGTCAGTAGTCAGTAATATGGTCTTACTTTAGTATGAATGTGGTCTAACTCAGTAGTCAGTAATACTTTCCGACCAGGCTGTCAAGTTTCCTATTCCTCTTCTCAACCGGATGGAGAAACACTACTTTACACTGAGGGATAGTATGACATTGACAGAAACTAGGTACCGTTGTTAGAAAACTTGAAAACTGGGTAGAGAGTCTTACCAAATCTAACTCAGGTGAATTTCTGTGAATTTCTGTGAATTTCTGTGATAAATATTCTTAAATTGGAGCCTCTCAATACCATTGCTAAAAATGAAATTATTTCTATATTGAATTGATTCTAGTTTATTCTAATTATTACCAATCCGGCAGGCATCCTGGATAACTTCCAGACAAACGAAACGTTTATCGGATACCATCAAGATACGACAGCATCATACGTCAAAACGGAGTGGAAGAGAATTCAGGACAAAAGAAATGAAACAAGGCCATTAGATCAAGTACCAGTGTACTTGGATCATCTGCTGAAGGAATGCAAAAATAGGCTACTGAGAACAGTTTCATACGATGGGCTCGTTCGATTCTCTTTGTCAGATGAGGAAAAAGTGGAGGTGAGTGAATCGAATGGTAAATGATATATCCTAGAAAAAGAGAAGACTAAGAATTAAGTTATACGTTGTTTTTCAAGTTACTAATCAATACACGCCCTCTCTGTTTAGGAAGTATGGGACGAGTACTACGACCGAGGGGGTAAAGTATTTCCAATTATCAAAGACTTGGCTTCATTCGTAAAATACCAGGGGAAGGAGACTAAACCATCCTTCTTTGTAGTTTCCACCTACTCCCACCTTCCAGCGAAGAAAAACATTCCACTTCCAAAGGTTACTTAAACTAAAATGTCACTTTTGCTTTTGGCAATTCGCTGCTACTTTAAAAAAATGAAACGCTCAATTATTGCGCGGCGCAATACTATTTTGAATGTAACGCGCCAGCGCCTAACTGAAATTTTGTACACTCTCGTGACATTAACCCGAGCGCGTGTTTTCCATTTGCGCGGCTTATTATACATGATCTGTTCGTTCGTTATATGAAAGCCTTCGTTTGGCTGTCACTTTGGTTTCCACTTCCTAATACTTTGAACTACAATCCGATATAATACACCCAAATGACAAACCTATACTGTAAAGTGCAGTGGTGGTACTCAGTAAAATATTTATGATTATATTGTTATTCCAGGAGGAGTCTGCATACAAGTTCAATGTCGAGGAATTTGGATCACAGAGCACATTTGAATCAGCTGTTCAGCCATTCTTCCAAGATGAGTCGAAGTGGCTGGTGATATTGGTGCCGCCAAAGTGGCACAAGCTTCTTAGCTACATGAGATTCCAATTGCAGTCTTTCAGCAGGGATACGAAATTAATAAAACATGTGATAATAATCACTCAGCTGCTCCGAAACTCTGTAAGTTTTTCTAACGAATAATTTTGTTTTGAGTTTTTGTCTGTAATCACCTTGTCTCAAGCTATATTTGACAGTTTCTGTCTTTTCTTTAATAATTAAATTTTCCAGGAGAACAGACCGGCTCTGTTCCACAGCGAGGTATGGAATAACGTGCACATTGAGGACTTGAACCCCAAGACTGGAAGAATGAAGTCTATTTCGGAGATGTCAAATTTGAGAAATCTGTGGAGCAGAGATATCCCGAGACTGTTCGATGGTTTGTTTTTATGATTGAAAAATTATTTAACCGAGTCTCTGAAACCCCCACGAGGCAAATAGGTACAAAGACGACCGGCTATTAGGGGTCCGGGACTAAACGGCGTAAGACTCTAACCCTAACCCGCCCTAGAGTCCGGACCCCGCTATTAGCCCTCGATGAGTTCATTTCGTAATTTGGATCAGATCTTAAGTCTTAACCACCAAATAAATTGCATTCCGCAGATGACATCCTGGACATGAACGAGGTGCTGAATACCTACAAGGAGCAAGTTGTGTGCAACATAGCTAACCCATTCCCACGTGAGGATTTGGGTCCTGTATTAAAGGTAAGCCATCTGAAAATCCATGCCCTTAACCGCCAAAGTTTCCGCCCGTTCACGAAGAGATTAGATAAACAGTTGTTCCTCATTCACTATCTCCTGATTTTGTACTGAAATATTGTGATCAGGACTGTATGACATCGGCGTACCTGCAAACTAGGATCACTTCCGCTCTGACACAATCTCTGAAAACAACAAGCGACTCACCGAAGTTAAACTGGATTCAGAAAGCCGCTCTTGACAAAGCAAGATTATCAGAAAGCACTTCATTCCAGAACGTTCTGATGCTCAAGGTTAGTTATTGACCTTTTTATTGAAAGCGTATAGCTCGTGGAATCATCATTTGGAGATGACGATTTGGTAAAATTGTATTTTCCGTCATTACATTTTCCGTCATTACATTTACTATCTTTGACAAATCCGGAAAGTCGCTAGCAAAGATAGTACCGATCTTTGATCATAAAACATATCCCACATATGAATTATAAGAATTCAGTGATCACAAATGTTTGCGTTCTGGTTTGAACCAATTGTAGGAGATAGAACTTGAAGATCTGAACACACATTAACAGGTGTCAGACTCCTTGACGAATGTAGCAGCTAGTATCATATCAGATATAGACCGTGATGGTAACGCAGCCCTCAGAAGTGAAACATCTCTTACCGTCTTCTGGGAGCAAATGCTTACGTAAGTCATACTCAATTGTGCAGAGTAATCGTTACAATCGCAATTTTGCACCGTTAAATTATACAGGCTGCTGGCTGGCGTTATATTGAGAATTTAGGCAGTCTTCAGTCTTGCTCGTGATGCCTGGCAAGTTGTAGCGAGAGGGGATGTAGTTAACATTCCTTTTTTACAGTATGATGCCCAGTTGGAGTGATATTCATGTCAGTGACCATAGCTTGTGTAAAATACAGCATAATTTCCTCTGCTCTGACACTAGAGATGTGCCATGTCGGTTCCCTTTTTCCTGGCTCGTCAAAGATAGATTGGACGAGATGAGCACTGGTGTATTCAGACTTAATGAAGAAGGTTCGTTGTAAATCAATGTACGAAGTTACTGATGAGCAGCCTCGCGGCTCCACGCAGTCATTCCATTTGTGAGAATATTCCACACCTTGTCGTTTCGTTTAACTACAAAGCTACAATTGATTACTTACTCAGACGATTTGCTGGAGGACATGTCAGACAATTTCGTGTTGGAGTTCAACAAGTGTAAATTGTATGAATTGTTGAGTGGAGCGAGTCAGGACCCTCAGTTAAGACAGGATTTGAATGAACGTTATCTTTCGGACTATTTGAACATGGTTTACGCCGCTCAATCCGACTTAGAATTCCAGGTTTGTCATGAAAATACAATTATACAACCTTACCCAACGTAGTTCATACACCGTAGAACTATGTTGTATTCAAAGTATCGAAAATTGCATGATATGCGCATTGCGCAATCTCAAGTTCATAATTATAATTTGTACAGTCTTTCGCCAGTATTTCTAGGATATATTAAATAAATTTTCACTTCTCATGGTAACCTTTTCTGCAGATTGCTTACAGGATCTTTGAAGTGCAGCTTCCTGAAGGTTGGCGGGAGAAACATGTTGCCGAGTGTGCTGTTCTGATACAGATATACCACCTGAGACTTGGTGGACAGATCCAGCTAGAGGCTCTACGGAAAACTCTTACTGTTTTCGTGCAGGTAAATCTTACAGTTTTTAATTGATACTTGTATGGAACAAATGTGGGAGTGGACTGGATATTCAGATTGAATAGGATCGGAGATGGAAGCTGCTCCTCGTGTATAATGTCTTTGTATATTTTTAACCATTTTATTCTTCTGCAGGAGATCAATAAAGATATCAGTTGTTTTGAAAACGCTTCACGGTCAGAACAACCTCTCTTCACCCTTTGTGAGATCCTCTTAACTGAAATTGAGAGCTCTATTGACAACGTCATGAGGACCAACAACTTTACCATGCCCATAAAGATTATCATCGGACTTTACGGCGGACACCCTACCGCGTACGCCAGGCTCATGTTAGTCACATGTTTGTTCTATCTCTATTATCAGAGCTAATGAAGCCTGTTACTGAAGGCCCCCGATTTGAAATATTTGAGAGCCTTTGAGATACTGCAGAGGGTGTAGACAATTAGGCTGACCTTGATATTATGATATATGACGTTAACCAATACTCCCAGGAATGGTTGGAACCGAGTTAGATTCAAGGACCTGAACAGAAAATTTGTTGGTAAAATGAACAGCCTCGGAGTGCCTAAAGTTCAAACTGATATTTATTATGTCAAAGTAGAACACGTGAGTCATGTTTCTTTGTCCGTGGATTAGAAGCATCTTGCGAGAATATAACAGGAATGAAATCACTAAATTGTAAAACTCAATTATATCATTATTAATGATACAATAATACATTAAAACTAACATATTTGTGGATTATTAAAACTACTCGATGACTATTCAGGAGTTGGAGGCCCTCACGGTCCAGGAGTCTCTTGAGGGAATTATTACGCAACTACACGACATGATACAACTAGCAGTGGAGGACCTTGCTATGGACACTGATATGATGTGAGCTTGATATCACATCTTACAACACTCGTGTCATACAAAGTTCATTTCTGTTCCTTATTACATACCACTATTTAACATGGCTGTTAAAGTTTTAACTTCAACTCTGCAAATTTTCAGGAATATAATGTGGGTGTGTACTGTGTGCGGTGATTTGACTCACGATCAGGTCGTTACAGCGTGTAGACACGTGTTCTGTAGACCCTGTTTTGAGAACCAGAATATGCAGTGAGTTCTGCTTAATTTAACTATTTAACCCTAATTTATTCTTTACATTTGTCCGCAAGGGGCTTTGAAAGAAACGCACAACTAAGTCAAATGATTTACTTTCTATATCTTTACCATTATACCCCTGTCTTATCAAATTGATAAGTGTAATTATTTCGCAGTTAATTACCATAATGCTAACTTCTCAGATGCTCAAGATGCGGGGATCCTATTTTTGAAGACTCTCCTCCCATCCCAGCTGATCTAGAGTTAGTTCAATAAATTGCACCAACTTTTGTAACTTATCTTATTGAAAAGTAGAAAACAACCAAATCGGAACATTATCACCTAGTGACATTTACCTCGGTATCATACGTTTTACAAGCCTACAAATTATCCACAGGGACCTGGTGGCTTTGGTGAGCAATTGCTGCGGGGAGGCCGTTAGTTTCCTATCTCAAATAATTGTAACATTCCTGAGTGAACAGAGACTTGACCCCAGAATTTTGGAAACTCTTGCAACCCTCGGTGAGATTTGAACTAATTTGTTATAAGTTATCATTTATCTTGGGTTATATAACCGCAGATGTCGAAGTAAATGATTTGGAAGACCTGTCAGACTCTGGCTCTCAGGTGTTCTTGGTGAATTTGTCGACTAAATATATGATATCTCCCAGGAAAGGGTAGAGTGCGTGAGAACAGATTGTTAAGGTCAGTAGCGAATGATAAGCTAGAAGCCCTACAAACCCTCATTTTCACCATGTTCGTCAAGAATCAACTCACATATCGCGAGTGAGTATTTAAACATTTACGGTTTTATAATCTATTCCACGTTCTGTAAGACGTGCTCTATGTCAGATCTGCGAACGTTACCAAATAACGTTTCAAATGGCTGAAATCTACTTTTCCAGTCCTGTAGTAAGCTGAGATTATGGTTTTAAATTAATTTCTCATGATCGGATATAACCAACTATTACCCCTGCAGTGACTACAGTGAGTTCATATCCCAATCTTGTCACTTACAAGACCAGACTGTTAACGTTACAACGCTCGCAAAGTTCGTCACCATCACTCAGGTGAAGATTTTAATGTTCTGCTCTCACACATATGACCTGTCTTTCATTTGAATGAACATGAGGCATGTAGTGTAGACCACAAAGCGCGTCTGTAACGATAATTTAAAATAACTTCTAAGAATCCTACATTCCTAATATATAATATATAATATAACCCTTTCCCAACCCTTTCCTCCAGGATGTGGTGAATACCAGACTAGATATTCCCCAACTGATCAACATGTACAATGACTTAGTTGAATATGAAGGAGTGGAATACATACAGCGCACTGTACAATCTGTTTCTGGTATCCGCAGAGTGTGAGTCCGAGTACTGAATAATTTATGCTACGGAGACAACTTATTTTTACGACAAAATATACAGTTTCATGATGAAGAAAACTTGAAATTATTCATCACAATCCCCCTAATTTTGCACTGTAATTTTAAGTCTTTGTGATGATTTAATGTTGATAATCAAGTGTTCCCAGTTTAAATGAGTACACTCAGTTTGTTTAATAAAGACGCGCTTTATAAAGACAAACCTTTAAATGAAAATAATTAAAGACGCTGAAGCCTTCGCCAAAGTGAACCGTTTTTATATAACGAACTGAGTGTATCTGAAAGACTATTTATTGCGGGTTGATTTTCTCTCTTAATATTAACAACAACAAATATCCAGGCTGACGATCCTAGTAAAAGAAGTAAGTGAAGTGTTGGATAGGCCTGCCACACCCTTATCTGTGTACCTGCAAGAGTTGAGGGCTAGTCTCTCCACCATGCCTCCCAGACAAGTCTACACTCTTAAACTATTCTTCCTCAAGCAACTCTTCGTTGATAGAGGTACTTTTGTTCGGCTTAGATCTCTTAAAGTTTGACTAAAGTAAGTATTTATTTTTTGGTATCAGAGACTTATTTAAATGCCAAAACAGGGGTTTAATTCTGTCATTAAATGTTCTATTATCACCGTCAACTTCAGGAGTGTCAGTGATCTCCAAGGTTATGAAGGATGATAATTTGAGTTGGATATCACCTGTTGAAGATGCGGAGACTCAGGAGAACGACCTGTTCACTCTTCTCGGGGCGGGATACACTTCCTTAAGGTATCAGAATTCAGTTCATATCCTTTAAAGTTTTAGTTTATACCTTATGGTTGAGCAAAGCCAAGATACTGCTAGTGATTTTAATTATTGAAATCGGTTTAGGAAACCAGATCAGAATGATAACTATAAGCTAGTGCATAATTCAAGGTACATGAAATCAAGTACTAAATCCCTAGATTAAAAAATAGCAGTTCAACATATTATAGTAAAATTACTTAAGAGAAACTGCGCGCTTTTTGTTACTGTCTATCGTGTGTTAGGAATGAGTTGGCCGTGAGTAATGGTACGAACAACGCTGATGATGTAGTGGAGAAGATGGAGGCTGAGGAGTGTACCACTCTACATTCAATTGCAGCTACTTACTACGTTCTCAGGAACAGTCCCATTCCCAACAACATCAAAGAATTGGTAACGCTTATTCAACTTCTTTTTTGTGGACATAAAGAATAGTTTACTTCATTTTTTAGACCGACTGATCAGTGATCCTAAACATTGGACTACGGCAAATTATTATAAGTAGCACTATTACCGGGTGTTTTCACTTTACAGTTCACATGTTTTCATGTTTTGACACTGATTCTATTTGAACCCCAGGTGCGCGGTACACTAAGGCAAGACAGCGAGAAGAACTGTTTTACAGCTCTTTGTACCGGTGACCCGGATCCTAACACCCTGTCCGGAGTGGATCTGAGGAGAGTTGATCCGTTCAGAGGACCTCTTACTCTGCTCTATCTGACTCTGCAGATACGCTGCAAACATCCCTTCCTTAGACTGCTCGAGGTAAGGACCTTCAGAATAATGCTGCAGTGTACTGTTCATGGAGTGTTCATCTTAACAACCGTTATCTGCTCCAGTGCTAGCTGATCATAGTCATACCCTCGTTACTGTTACAATTACTTAAGTATTATAATATGGTGAAGGTCTTAAACATTTGAATATTTCAGAGTATAAGAATGTACCCAGAACAAAGTGAGAACAAATTCCTTCCCGGTATGAGAGATAATATCCTTTCTGACTTTATTGGCAATCTCGCGGAAGGGTAAGTTTAATATTCATTACAAGTGTAGACCTTTCATTCAAGCCAATAATTTAAGTAATTGGGGGTTTCTTTTATCTTAGTAACCAATGCAAGATTCAGTGGTATTTCTGTAATTAAAAAGAGATTTAAAATCACCAGCTCCCAAAAATGGAAATGGTATCGTTGTACTAACGGTCACGCGTACGCCATCAACAAATGTGGTCGTCCTATGCAGCGAGGGAGATGTGCGTGTGGAGCGGAGATTGGTGGAGACAACCATCAGTTTGTAAACAATACCAATACCATGGAGGTTACTGATGCCAACAATATCGGATTGGAAGAAAAGGTTAATTGTTATAACACGATGTGATGGTACTCAATATTGCAAACAGATTAATCTGAATTCCCAGTTTTAAATGACACTTATAAGATCATTGTATGACCCATATTCCAATTTCCAGCCCATTCCATCATGATCACTGAACCCTTATTTCTCTGCAGAAACACAGAATACTCCCAAAACTAAGTTCTCCCTCCCTCAGGGATACAACCTGCTGCCCCCTGGTGTCCGGTTATTAACTGACACGGAACGAAGTATACCTCCTCTACTTCTTAATATTATCAGATGGTTCATACACGCATCATATCTCTTATCGGAAACAGCTGATCAGTATAAAGACAGAATATTCAAGCTGGGAAACCAAAATCTATCCACCTTCCTGCTGGAGAATATGCAGCGCGATCTGGAAGGTATAGGTTCTTTAGTGCGTGATATAGTGAATCAGTAGCAATTCGCCATAAATTTCTCAATTCCGTCAATAAGAAAATGTTCCCCATCTTCTACTTTGATGATGATTGCTGATCCAATACTCCTCTCTTTAGGAATGAGACTGCATCTCAATGCTGGACCTGATGAGTGCGTGCTATTCTTGGTGAAAACGATCATATCTCTGACCGTGTCCGCTGAAAGTCGTAACTACATCTGCAGTTCGAAGCCAGATAGGTTTGTTTCATACTGAGTACCAGCTGACATATACTTAGAATTTATAAACATATACTGGGGCATTTTATTGAGCTTAATAGCTCTCATCCAGAGAGCTGTAGCTTCAACACTAGGTGGTGCTGACGAAATAAACCACAATTTAAATATGTAGTGAAAGTTTCAGTACAAGTACATGATTATTGATCAATACAGCTACACACAAATTCCACCCATTCCATCAGAAACAACGTGGAAGCGTCGATAGTCGCCGCAGCACAGCCGCTTCTAGAAAACCCAACGGGTGTGATTAGAGATGCTCAGGTACTGATTGTACACGACGTGAATGTAGCTACAGACCCTCTGGTCAAACAGGTATATAGCGGTGAAGTCTAACCAAAGGTGATGAGGTATGCAAATCTGAAACGTCCACCTCGACCATGTTTTAACACTCGATTTTTAGTTCGTCCTCGACGTTTTTTTCGACAGTCGACAACTTTTAGTTCGCCCGTTTGTTTGTTTCCTCGACCATAAATTTGAAAGGCGCCTGCAAAGTCGTCTCATTCTACTTTTTTCAAACTTTAAAAAACGACAACCGAGAATGTGTATGTAATTTGAAATAATGTGCCTGTAAATATTGAATGTTAATTGCAGCAAATTCCACATGATTGACAAGCATGTGACAAATGTGAAAATACAGATTTCAGAATTTCAAGATGGTTGATTTGCTCTGGTTCCTTCACTGTTATACCGGGTTTTTTTTACAACGCTGACAGCATTTTTAATCATCAAAACTGATCATAAAAACCTAATAATAGCATGGGTTTTTAATTCTTCTATTAGGAATCTGCAATACATTGATCACTCAGATTACCTTTTACATTCGATTATTCAAGGAATTCATGAAATGGAATTCTAAACAGCCAAGCAATTCATACGAATACGATCACTTTCAGCATAGCCTCTCTAATAAATTCGATAATTTAGGGAATTCTTGAAATGGAATTCATAATATATGATCATTGCACTATCAGCATTACATAGCCTCTCTGACAATTATCGATTTCTATCTTCCTGAGCTTATTCCTCAAGGAGCTACTTTTCTCTCTGCATTTTCAGAATATAAGCCATATTTTGTCAACCGTGTAGGCTCGTCGCTGTTAATGTTGTTCGTTGTGTTATGTGTAAACATGTCTGTCGCAAAGCTATCATGTGTCAATTCGCAAAGAACGTTATTTTTCCAAATATTCACGAAAGGCTCCCACATACTACAGTAATACCCCGATTTACTGCAAATCCCGATTTACCGCGACTTTAGCCTTTCTCCCAAACTCCGCGGTGAATGGGGGTATTATTGTACCTTGGTTTTTGCTTGGTTCGGGTTTCAGCTAATCTCAAGTTTACATTTGTGTTTGTAATAACCACCTTTTGGCAGTTGTACGAGTTTGACGACCCACCGGTCCAACTAACCAGCAGTGACTACCATTGTCGACCTGAACTTTGGAGGAACTCTCAACCGCTCAACCTTACTCTGTTCTGCAACAGCTTCACTAACTCTGTTGCAGCACACGAACAAGACAGATACCCTACTGTTAAGACTTTTGTTGATATTAGGGAACAAGTCCATCTCCTTGGGGTTCGTAACATTCCTTATCGTTATGATTTGTAGCAATTCTTACTGTTATTTGATCAGTGATTGGCCTTTCAAATTTGATGGTGAAAATGTTGGCTAGTTCCAGTCAAAACCTTCTTCAATTTATAGAGTTGATAACTAATAATTAATAATAATAAATAGAATTAATAGATGTGGATACTGGTGGGGAGGTGAAACACATTTGTTTACTTTAATAGTGAGCACATGTTCGGCGGGTTGAGGAGGTGAAACACATTTGTTTACATTTTTAGGGTAAGCACATGTTCGGCGGGTTGAAGAGGTGATACACATTTTGTATTATAGAAGGCTTGTAACACTTGTAACGCTTTCTTGTTACCCCCCTTTGAAGGCCCCGAATTATTTTCTGAACGAAAGCTCAAAAATAACCGAGAAATCGACCTTCTTATTAACTCATTTTGATGACTGTTTCTGACCTAAAATTGCACGAAAAATCGATTTAGCTAGGTTTCAGAACCTATAAACACTTCCTTATCCCTAAAAATTGATGTTTTATAGCTAATACGAGCAACAAGCAACATATGTTTTGATCCTTCGGTTCTACTCATGACCTAGGCAGTAAAGCTGAACCCGACAGATCGAGGCAATCCTCACCTTAACTGATCAAACTAGTACTAACACACTTCTCAGATATAAATGTTCTTTGCGATACGTTTATTGCAGCTTTGCAACTTGAGTGAAGACCAGAGTACGAAAACACACAGCAGGTTAGCAACTCACTTTTGGTGACTGTTCCTCACGAACATTCTGATCCTGCAACATATATAAACAAGGATATCGTCTCCTTAACAAATCGAACAGGTACTATCAAAATTTCTAGAGCACAGCATGATAACAAAGTCAAAAGAAACACAATGAAGGTAGGTTACCAACACCACAATATAACAATCATACTAAAAATTGAATTAAGTTTATTCTGACGACGGGCAGCCCTGATGTGCTCCGTGATCCTCAACGAGCGACCACTTGTAATAGAGGTGGTATGTCACGTGACACCGATCCGTCCAATCACAAACAGGAAGAGTGACCAGATCGATATCGTGTGTTTACTTTCCTTATCTTTATTTGACCCTCTGTTCAAATTGTTATCTCTATCACATCTCGGCTCGGTAAGGTCCGCGTGCAATATCTGCACTGCGGTAAACACGCCATGATAACGTCATGAACTTGAAATAGTGTGATTGTTGTACTTATATAACCGTACCCATTGCCCACGTACAATACAAACTGTTGGGGGGGGGGGGTTGAAGATAAACAACCGATCTTGATAGTGTGTCGGTCGCTCCTCCTATTCAGCAAGCTCGACAAGTTTAGGTAGACCTGGTCATTTAAAAAAAATCACTGTCCACCTCCCTTAAAAAAACAGGGTTGACAAGTTGGGCACACACGAATGGGCACACACGAATGCGATGTCGCTCAGATAAGGCAATATCTTCGCCACAACTTTGTTTCCCAAAATCTTGTACCGCTTCAGATAGCCAATGGAGCGTTCCACGTGAATGCGGGCGATGCTTACTTTTCTGCTGGCAGCTACTTCTTCCGGCGTGAACTGAGTCTTGCTCCACATCACCTCTGGGATGTTAAGTGTAACTCCTGAAATTTAATTCGCTTTTTATTCCGCTTATTCTTAACTAACCGGACGATGAATAATCACTCTACACTCAACTATTACGTGACGTTACAACACGTTCTCTAGCTGGCTCTGAGTAACTGCTTACTGCATGCAGGATTTTAAATAGAAATTTGAATAGTGTACAGCAAAGCTCTAACCCATGATCCGAAATAAAATGCAGCTGGTAAACGATCTAAAGACGGGTCCACTGAACGAACCGGACGCGGATTACGCACGTTACGTGCACCAAAACGGCATATTTAGATTCTAAGACTAAGAGGAAATTAAATTCACGTCGCTACATGCACAGTTAATTTTTAAGCACGAACACAGTAATCATGTGGTAGCATGGATTTAAACAGACAAACAGTGTTATTTGCAGTAGCATCAGTTAACGATGGAGTACGTTTTCAGTTTGCGGGCCTAAATGTAAAGGACCGTCAATGTGGCCAAAAATACGATACGAATATGTATGTACGGTACCAGCTAAAATATCTGTCAGTACAAGTATATACAGCAAAGCTCTTACCCATGATCCGAAATAAAATGCAGCTGGTAAACGAACTAAAGAGGGGTCCACAGGTCCACTGAACCATTTCAACAGCGCACCCATTACCCGTTATCGATTTTATCAATACTTCCGTATCTCATCTAAAATAAACACCCCGCACACAAAATGAATTCCATTGACTTTGAGGGCAAGTGCAACATTTAAAGTTACACAAACTCTTATTACAATTGTGAGAATGATTCCAAGTTTACATATTTAAAACGGCAATGACTGATTACACAGCACAAATTGAAATTTTGAGTGTCTAACCTGGTAAAAATGAACTGCACCATGTTGAACTAGTACTTCAAATCTGTCATGTATAACCATGCTTGTCCTCCTGTACACTGCAAGTGCCTCCTCCTGGAACATACAGTTCTTGTCAGTGAAGTCGTGTCCTATATTCCGTTTTCAAACACTTACTGTCTAAGTTAAGCAAAGGAGCACTCATGGATATATGTTAATGTTCCGTTCATGATTGAACAGTTAGCATCACAGTCAGTTGGAGGAGCGACCAACACACTATCAAGATCGGTTGTTTATCTTCAACCCCCCCCCCCTCCCCCCCCCCCCCCCCCAACAGTTTGTATTGTAGGTGGGCAATGGTGAGCAATGGGCACGGTTATATAAGTACAACAATCATGGCGTGTTTACCGCGGTGCAGATATTGCACGCGGACCTTGCCGAGCCGAGATGTGATAGAGATAACAATTTGAACAGAGGGTCAAATAAAGATAAGGAAAGTAAACACACGATATCGATCTGGTCACTCTTCCTGTTTGTGATTGGACGGCTCGGTGTCACGTGACATACCACCTCTATTACAAGTGGTCGCTCGTTGAGGATCACGGAGCACATCAGGGCTGCCCGTCGTCAGAATAAACTTAATTCAGTTGTTAGTATGATTGTTATATTGTGGTGTTGGTAACCTACCTTCATTGTGTTTCTTTTGAATTTGTTATCATGCTGTGCTCTGGAAATTGTGATAGTACCTGTTCGATTTGTTAAGGAGACGATATCCTTGTTCATATGTTGCAGGATCAGAATGTTCGTGATGAACAGTCACAAAAAGTGAGTTGCTTACCTGCTGTGTGTTTTCGTACTCTGGTCTTCACTCAAGTTGCAAAGCTGCAATAAACGTATATCGCAAAGAACATTTATATCTGAAAAGTGTGTTAGTACCAGTTTTATCAGTTAAGGTGAGGATTGCCTCGATCTGTCGGTTTCAGCTTAACTGCCTAGGTCATGAGTAGAACCGAAGGATCAAAACATATGTTGCTTGTTGCTCGTATTAGCTATAAAACATCAATTTTTAGGGATAAGGAAGTGTTTATAGGTTCTGAAACCTAGCTAAATCGATTTTTCGTGCAATTTTAGGTCAGAAATAGTCATCAAAATGAGTTAATAAGAAGGTCGATTTCTCGGTTATTTTTGAGCTTTCGTTCAGAAAATAATTCGGGGCCTTCAAAGGGGGGTAACAAGAAAGCGTTACAAGTGTTACAAGCCTTCTATAATACAAAATGTGTATCACCTCTTCAACCCGCCGAACATGTGCTTACCCTAAAAATGTAAACAAATGTGTTTCACCTCCTCAACTCGCCGAACATGTGCTCACTATTAAAGTAAACAAATGTGTTTCACCTCCCCACCAGTATCCACATCTATAACTCGAGGTAATCAAACTACTTCGTCTGAACCCCTCCACCCTCAGCTGTTACCGAAGATATTGGACTTCTTCAGACGTCTTCTGTCTCGATACTCATATAAAAGCAGTTTGGAGGAAGCAAGAAATACTCCAATAAGAGATGTTATCAAGGATGACCCCATCTTGGAAGAAGGATTTGCTGCGTGGGCTCAGGTGCGGAATTTTTATATTAATCACTGTATTATTTACTAAAACCCCGATTAAGAATCTTAACAGTAGCAACTGAAATGATAGCTACATTTAATTTTGTGTACTGTGTATAGCATTTCAGCTGTATCAGCAACCAGTGCACATTTTAGAATCATAAATGGAAATTATAACTACTTTGTTTTCACAGGCGTGGAAGGAGATTAATGTAGAGAGCACCAAGTTTGCGATCCCAGAAGCGTACAAAAATAAGAAGGATATCAGAGATAATGAGCCACTGTCTCTCTTCCTACCTGAACCTGTTGCTAGAGAAGGGATATGTTGTCTCCATCTGCTTGATGTTAGTTGCTTTGTTCTCCTCTTTCATCCCCACTTCACATTGCCGACTTCTTACCAATTGTAAAACTGTCAAAGAACAGTTTTTGTAAAGATTAATACATTGCATATCCTCATTTTTAGTACATGGTTTTGTTTTTCAGACCCTGATTGCGTTACACAATAAGCTTGTTAGACATACGAAACGCAAGAATGTCAAACTGTCAGATAGATTTCTCAGCGTAGACTACGACCCGGAGAGAACCTACCATGTTCTTGTTATATTCTCATTCTGTCAGACTCGTCGGTCAGTAATATTCACTTCAATTTATGTTATTCAATTATATTTTGAAGCTAACAAATCTGTAAGAGGCGAAAATACTGTATACTACATTATGAACATTCCAGCGTACTGTTTCACTGTTTTGCTGAATTAAACCTGCTGTATTAACTAATTAAACCTGCTGTATTTAATTAATTAATTAACTAAACTGACTTGCCAGGTAAACACAGGGAGGTAAGATTCTCTTACGGAGTATTTGAGAGATACCTAAAGGACGAGGTACTGGGCGGGGTACACCCCATATTAGACTCCATCAAGCAGTTCACAGATCACGACACCTTCAAGATGACGTACCGTGAGGATGTCACGTGGTTGGAGCTGTGCAACAAGCTCCACGCTAGGGAACCTCAGCACAGGATACCGGATACTATCAAGATAGAGTTTGGAGATATTAGAGCTGCTAATGAAGCTAAGAAGGCACTGGCTACTGCTATCGGCTACATCAGAGCTGGTACGAATTTTGGAGTTTGGATTGTGAAATAATGGGTTTTTAATATGTGTAGTATGTAATATGTATGCTATTTAAACAGTTAAACTCTTTGACATCTGTTCTATTTTGATTTTATTAAAACACTCGATGGGTGGTGTATCAAATATTTTAAGCAATAGTTGTTGATAATTCAGAGGAATCATAATTGCAGGTCTTGGAAGTGGATCCCCTAACGAGAGTTTGATCAGATTTATGGAGCGTATTGGGTCCTTCAAAGAACATTCCAACTACTCAATACCAGATACCCTAAAGAAGTGTCACGTGTTGGATGCTTGGTACCTGGCCTACTTCTACAAGTCTTACCGCAGCACTTACGATCCGTTTGATAGCATTAATATGGTCACTACACCACCTCCTGAGTCTCACGAGTGGTTCACTGGCAAGAATCATAAGATCATCAAGATATGGCTGGTAAGATTTCAAATCATTTGTTATATGATCTGTTACATCATATATGCTCCTGGATTAACATTGTTATAATTTACAATTCACAGTGGTCGGAACTCTGATGTATAATATCGGGAAGGAGTAATGCTATTAAATCCAAAATCATGAATAACAATGAATTTATTTGCAGATGGAGTTACACCGATTCCTGATAGATTGGATGGTCCTGAAACCCTCAGAGGATACGGAAGGTAGTGTTAGTTATGAAGGTATGGAGCTAATGGAATGTCTGGACTTCTTCAAAGAGAGGACTCTGTTAGCGAGATCTGAGAACGAGGAACCAGAGTTACCCGATCTACCTGAGTGTTTGAACTACGAGCACTCGGTAGCTTTCTGGTTGGCTTTAAAGGAATCTTGCCTTAAAGTTTAAGAAAAATTAGAAGCACCGGGACATTGGGACGTGAGAGCCCTGATATTGTTTGTTTTTTTTTGTAAAATTTTACGCTTTTAATGATTCACTTTTAATCCAATATGTGATAATCACGTAATGGTCACATTGATCGTTTTTAATCATTCTTGTTTTTGCAGTGTTTGTGCAACGAACAATGAACATGGTGGAAACATTTTTATAGAATTTTTTAATGCAAATACTTTGATCAAGTTATTCGTTTCTGTAATAAAAACGGGCAGTCAATATCTTCATACGACTTTTTATGAAAATTGTGTTACGTGGTAATCGTTTTTTCATAGCATATTAGAATGAAAGGAATTTTCTTATTTTCTTATTTTCTAGAAGATTTATTTTTTAATATTTTTCGCAAAATCATAGTCACTACTGACTAGTACTACTATACGTTCGATCTAGTTTTAACTTAAACTGTTTAGTTGGGTCTAGCTTGAATATTGATCGCACTTTAATTGTTTGGTGTCACTTTAAATAGTGTTGTTTAGATAATCTTATCGAAAATAGATTTGTATCGCGCTATCAACCACGCAGTTATTGAATTGTTGCGACATGGTACTGGTACTGGATAATATGTATTTTAACAGTTGAATGTTGAATTGGTTAATAGTTGAGTTGGTATAACTATAATACTGTACCATTATAACACAACGTGCTAATTGTTTTGATCATTATTGATCATGGTAATTACAACACAAAAGTAAAAGTGGTGTATAACTTCTCTACGAAATCACTGGTGGAACTAATTTCAAACCCCGAAATCTCAGCTTTAAACCTAGAAATTGGACATAACCCACCAGCTGATATGTAAACGTTGTATTTTCGCACCATAAATTATTACGCTAGTGTAATGTTGACACATGAACAGACTGGCAGTGGTAATGGGTAACCAATTAGGGGCCATTACTTAGGACGTCCGGCAAATAGGGAGGGGGTGGTTTTGGAATTTCGGACAAATCCGGACAGGGGGAGGGGGGTGGTTTCTGAAAATCTGGACGTCAGGAAATTTTGGCAGAATTAACGAAAAAGTCCCATTTATTTCAACTCTTCGACACTAATTACTTTGTAAGTTTAGATCCCTGTATTTTGAACGAGAAGTCGATCGCCAGAGCAGCTCATGAGAGCCAAGTTTTATTCGTACTCTTAAAAGTAGCTGGAAATCCGGACGTCCGGGGAAGGGGGTGGTTTGAAAATCCGGACACACCCGGAGGTGGTCTGCATCTGAAAATCTGCAACTTTGGCGGACGTCCTAAGTAGATGCAAGATGGTCCCTTAAGGAATACGGAGGCAGGAAAGGGGACGCAAAAATTGACCAAAGTGATTCGTGTAATATGTGAACACGACACTATTATATGCATTGCACTCTATTACTCTTGTATCATGTCACATGTCGTGAGTCGTGACCCCCATTGTCGTTTCACTTAGTGGCCCCAGTATCAGGGCACTCGTGCGCGGCGGACCCACAACGTATGGCAAATATACTCCCCAAATTACGCGCATTGTAATGCAATGTCAAAGACAAATGTGCTTCGGATGGTGGCGATTACGTTTTCACCTCTTGAGGGAATCCTACGCATGTTGTTAACTGTCAGACTTTGGACGAGGAAATGTTCTCGCGCCGTACGTTTATTATGGTAAAGCATTTCGGTACCAGAACGATAAATCTGTTTAAAATAAAAAGTTAAAAAGTTCGAAAATAGAGTGTTTTAGTGAATAACTTAGAATATATTTTTGATTTTATCAAGGTCTGACTGATAGATTTTCTTTAAACTTTCCAGATAGTTACAAGGCTATATGACGGATAATGTGTGAGAGTTTGGGAGAATTTATATGTGCCAAACTTGAGATATAATGACTTCAAACACAAGAAAATATGTATATACAAGATATTGCGAGCGTCCTGTTACTCTCTTAGATGCAATATCTGTAAAGTATTGGATGAGAACTGATTTTAAGTAAGGATTTTAAATTAAGTTCAGGATTATAAAAAAATTCTCCGATTTGCAGTTCGAATAATATGTGCTTGTGATGCATCCGGCATCAGCATAATCTCAGAGGAAACATCTCTCGCGTGCATATCTTTTTTATCTTTTTTAGCAGAACTCTTTCCTCAGAAAGTCACCGAGTAAAAATGAAAAAGTCAGATGACTGTAACAAAGCAGCAGAAATCCCACACATTAATAGCCCTCTCTCATCACTATGCTTATTATCAAACATGTCAATCTTACAAATGTCAACAATCCTAAAATAATTTAGAACCGAAACGTGATCCTTTGTAAAATTATATGTCCCAATAATCAAATTGACTTGTACTCAAGTATAAAGTTAAACAATTTACTCCAATAACCACGGTCACTAGCAAGTTCTCTCAAATGGAGAATATCATCATACGACTCCAGCAAGATGAAGCGCTTCCAGAGGTCAACCTTCAGGTGGTGCAGGAGGTTACGTATGTGAGCCCCGAGTCTACCAACTTCACTACACATCTCGACAGCAAAACACAGCGCAGCTTGAGCTGGTGATCTTTCATCGCTCCTCAGTATGTGTCCTAGCATCTTCCACCTAGATAACTCAGCACGCTCAGACATAGGGATAGAGTTACTCTGTTTGTAGAGGGTATCTTTGGACATCATACTGCGTGGCCAGCTGACATTCATGATCTTTCTGAGGTGGTTACGGTGACATGCATCTAGTTTGTCCCAGTACGATTTAGGCATTCCCCAGCAACTAGAGTTATACATGAGGATAGATACTACTTGGGCCTCATAGACCTTCAGCTTCTTCTGTAGGGGGATCTTACTCTGGCACCAGACCTTCTTGAAGTTCTGGAATGCTACATTGGCTAACATGATTCTTCTGGTGACATCTTTCCTACTTTCTAGCAGAGAACCCAACAACTTGCTACTGCACCATTCTTCATTCATTCTAAGGGGTTTACCATCATCTATGACCTCATCTTTCCCAGCTATGTAGACGTGTACATCACTATGCTGAAATTAAAAATATAATTTTTGACTGTACAATGGTAAGTAACTTTTCAAATCTCAATCAGGTTTTAATTATCTCAGTTACTCGCCAGATTTTGAACGATTAGGCGCTAGACAGTATGATTCTAAAGATTTACAATCTTAAATTTTGTACTACCTTTGTTCATCCTTAGAACAACATTACGAAGTACTCCAGCGGACGAAGTACTCCAGCGGAGGAAGTACTCCAGCAGACATCTGAGCAGAAACGATTTCACTCGACCAAGGTACTGGAGCTGAAAAATTTTGAGTCATATTTCTTTTGTAAACAAGTGAAAAAGAAGTACTAAATTACAAACAATGTCATTAAGCTTATTAGCGATCATGGATGAAGATAACAATGTAATTAGGAACAATGTAAACATGGAATGCAGCATCGTATTGATTGAGTGGGTCTCAGAATTAATTTGAAGATAACACACTTTAAAAAAAGTTTAAAGCAGTCGGTCGGATTAACAAGTAAAAGAAATACAGTAGTCCCGGTAATAAAGCTTTAATATAATACTCATGAGGAACAGTGTGTAAAAAATAACATTAAAATAATTTACTGGCTAAACATTTCAGGTTACTAAATGATTGAAAGTGCCTGTGTACTACTGCATAGTACATAATACTGTGTAGTGTGTACTATTTACTGAGTTATATTAATATATCGTGTATTGCTGGGAAGGCTGTTAATTTAGGATAGAGTTATTGTGGCACTTATATCAGTTTGTTCTTTTGTAGTTGTTCTCAAACTGCTGAGTAAAAGTTTTACAACTTAAAAGCAGTGTTTATAATTTAATTTATTATTGTTATTATTTCAAATATAACAAAAGCTTGGCGGTCGATCATAGTTTCGCAACGTCTATCCCAAATTTAAAATTATTCTACACAGCCCACCTGTATAACATCAACCCAGGAAGTTATTAAAAGCAAAGCAGCGTGTACGAAACCATAGTATCAAAACTTCCTTTTCTCTTAATCTCTTAAAATATTGTACTAAGAACTAAAACAAATTCAATTGGGAATTGAAAGCAGTCTTCATTACGAAATTTAATACACATGACTCACTCCATGCACTAACAAAATTAAAATAATAGACCGAATAGAAATTACATCAAAGATCAATTAACAAGTATATTAATTGAGTGTATCATTAATTAAGTCCTCCAAATCCAGAGCACTGGAAGAGAGGCTGGGTTGAGTGATAAGTGAAGAAGTGAGGAAAGCTCATTATAATGATTACGTGAACATGTTACATGCTAGTGGAATGAGTATACTAGTATAGATACACCTGTAGGTACTTCAAGGGGCTTTCCAGAGACTGATGAAAAGGGTGATGGGCTTATATTACAGTATTTCGGTTGTAGTTGGAGCTAGGAGAGAAGTTGCCAGGGTTTGGAGAGTAATTTGTTGTTAAGGATTCAGACAGCCTGACAGGAAACAGTTACCAGAGATTTTGACGCTCCCGTTGGATTTATTTTTTTCACTTCTCTCCCAAGATGTGTATCGCGATTATTGACGTCCTCGGCGATTTTAAGTATGGTCTTCCTAATATCCGTAGAGTTGAACCAGAATCTGTTGGGGGTCGTTTCCACCACTAAATGCCCAGAGAAACCCAAAGCATAGAGGTCCACACGAGAAGTTATCCGTCTGCTGTTGGCACGGCATGGCATTGATATATTTCACATTCCTTGCTGTTGGATGTTCTTCTTTTGAACAGACGAAAATCCGGTAACCATCCTCAGGCGATTTAGTTGCTACAGGAACTAGCAGGCGATTATCGATCTTCGTTGCTGGCTCTATTTTCCTAAACTCTAAAGAGTGGAGGAATGGTAACAGGCTTCACTCCCTATTCCACTCACTGACTGGTCGAGAGGCCGACTTCCAGCCCCCTCATTACTAGGGGGCCCAGGGAGATCAGATCATGTCACTAATTAGTGACGTATAATTAGTAATGTGATCCATCAGTAGAATTTAACTAACCTAGAAATGGTAGAGTTCACATGTACATCATAGCTGTGCATTAAGAAGTAAACATGATCTTTAAGATTTGACCGCTCGACTCGTATAACTATATCACATAAGGGACAGGAGCTCTTGCTAAAGAGGGGTTCTTGTATCTAGGGATGTGAGACGTGCGTGCCAAAGGCATGCAACGGGAGTGAGCTGATCAAGTGTTCTTAGGTATATTATATACTGGAAGATGATAGACAATAGTATCGCATTCTATCAACATGCCTACCTTCTCCAAATTCATCTCTGGTCGGACAGGATGTCAACAGCTACTCGACTCTGATGGATACATCTACTCCCGGAAGAAGGACAAGTAAAGGATTCAGCCCTCAAGTCTGCCTGGCTTTCACAGAGGATTTAAATCCCGAGTTCATCGCCCAAAGCCCTCTGTTCAAGAGTATGTGCGAGCTATCAAAGATCAGCAAGTCATTACCGACTTTCACATCGACAGGTTGAGTGTTGGCAAGACACCCGCTAAGAGGCGAAGGAATTACCATACCCAACTCCACGATATCTGTTCTTTTAGTATTGTGTGTGTACTTGTTAATTTAAATCAAAACTAAGGGGTAAAACTGGGCTAGATATATAGGGTAGAGTTCACATGTTCTGTAAATCGTAGCTGGTGGATCACATCACTAATTATACGGCACATCACTAATTATACGTCATATAATGATCTGACAAGCAGCACTTGTCACAAGAGACAAAGGATCTCATCTTGGAGCGGAGTAAGGTCAAGCAGAAATGCCCATGTGATGGATTCAATTATAGATCTGAGTATTCTCTTGCTAATAAGCGTGTTAAGAAGAGCTGTAAGAAGGACGATGAGAACTGGGCTTTACGGGTTGCAGCCGATCTGGAAACAGCTTCTTCACACGGTCAGCAGAGGGAGGTCTGGCAGATGATCAAGTCCTTGTCAGGCAAGAAGAGTCGGAAGTCAACTGCTGTCAGAGATAAAACCGAGAAGTTGATTTCTGACCCCGCTGCTCAACGAAAACGATGGGGTGAGCACTTCGCTGAACTACTAAACCCGCAGATAGGAGACGTGGACCTTTCAGACCTAGACAGTCTAGAGGTCGCACCATGTTTTCCGTATCTGAGTGATAGTGATTTACCCCCTAGCAGAACAGAGATCTCTGAGGCTTTAAAGAGTCTGAAGAATCACAAGAGCTCTGGAATTGATGAAATTTCCAACGAACAGCTGAAGTATGGGGCTCCTGGTCTTTTAGACAGGCTTGAGAAACTGTTTGCACGTGTTTGGGAGACGGAGAATGTGCCAGAGGATTGGGTTAATGGTATCATTGTTATTGTCCCGAAAAAGGTAGATACATCATTCTGCTCGAACAACAGGGGCATAACCCTACGCTCCACGGCATCAAAACTCTATCAGATAATAGTGTTGCGACGGATGAATGCGGGGCTTGAAGAACTGCTCCGAGAGAATCAGTGCGGGTTCAGGAAAAAAAGGTCTTGCATTGATCAGATTTATTCGCTCCGTACTATTATTCACAACAGCATTGAGTTTAACCTCCCCCTGTACTTAAATTTTGTTGACTTTAAAGCTGCATTCGATTCACTTAATCGGGAGTTTATCTGGAAAGCTTTCAGTCATTATGGCTTGCCTTGTAAATACATTCGCATAATGCAAGCATTCTTTTGCGGCACCGTCAGCTCTGTCAGACATAATGGTGAGCTCTCAGATTGGTTTGACGTTACATCTGGTTCTGGGCAGGGGGATATTCAGGGTCCACCTATCTTTAATGTTTGCATCAACCTGCCTGCGCAGCGGGCTGAGAATAACAAAGTGTTGTCACACGGGGCAGTGCTGCAGAGAGCTACCACCAGCTTTGCCCTTTGGTCAGGATACAGTCGTCTTGGATACTGACTATGCAGATGATTTGGCTATCATGGACAACACCAAGGACGGTCTCCAGGAGACGACTGATCTTTTATGCAAGTATGCGGCTCAGGCTGGCCTCAGAATCAATGCGAAGAAATCAGAGGTTATGGCCATCGGCAAGAATACATCACAGAGGCCGTATACTGAAGCATCAACGGTGGACATTACAGTGGGAGACACGGCTATCCAGCAAGTCAGCAACTTCACTTACCTTGGGTCGATTATATCAAGTGATGGGACTATTGACCGGGACTTGTCTGCACGGATCCAGAAAGCCTCAGGAGCATTCAATCAGCTCGGTAATATTTGGAAGAATCGCAATATCCAAACTAACACCAAAATACGGATATATGTTGCAGCGGTTCTAACAATATTACTTTATGGAAGCGAAGTCTGGAACACTACTTCAAAGCAACTACATCGCTTCGAAGTTTTCCATCAAAACTGTTTGTGGAGAATCCTTCGAATTAAATGGTTCCACCGGATGAGCAATGTTCAAGTGTTGGAGCGGGCAAGAATAAACCCGGTTATAACCAACATCAGTGCCAACCGTCTTCGCTGGTTTGGACATGTTTCTAGAATGCCGGACACCAGGCTACCAAAGTATCTACTTGACTGGACACCTGCTCACGGCCGAAGATCACGTGGGCGGCCAAGAAAGAATTGGCGAACCTGTGTCCTGGAAGACGCAGTAACATTTACAGGAGATCCAGACATTGTATTTGATAAGGTCCGAGAGTTGGCAGGAAATCGCAAGCACTGGAGAGAGATGATACGACATAAGCGGCAATTCCTTGGTGCAGGCCACTCGAATGATCGAGGAGACCTTATCAAGTATCAAGTAAGTAAGTATGATCTGACCCCTAATAATAGGGGGGCCTGGAAATCGTGCAGCCGTTTCTCATAAGATGTATGAATGTAACCGACAGCAGTAAGTTCATCCCCGACATGTTATATAATGAATATCTGTACCTATTAAGCTCCTTGTGATTTTGCTCACAAATTGATGTGTTTATTCTATTCCGTAGCAGCTGTGCACAAATATTCAAGCGATGAAATATATCTTATGGATTTTTAAAATTCACCTCGAATGAAATCTGTCAAATAAGATGTACTTATGGCTTACTGGGCGGCGCTCAGCCTGCACTGTCTTTCCGCCGAATCTCTATCTTTGATTATGGACATAAATATGGTAACTTGTGGCTTCACTTGGTTACAGGATGGTCTCTAGGGTTGGATTTCACAGATTGAACTTTGTGGTTCAACAGCTCATCGAAGTTTATAACGCCGCCGAATTTGATGAATTGCGGGATCTCCGGTTTTGAAGAGTCTGCCAGCTTTCCTCCGTATGGTGGCAGCATACCAGGGAACTGCTTCTCGGCATGTCTGGCCACTTGGGAAGCAAAGACCACAACAGATATTGACGGAATATGCTGCCATGATCTAAGGAACTGAACGTAATCCGATGCCCCTTCATGCAGGCAGAGGACCTTAAACCCTACACATATTCATGTGGACACATGACTGTGAGAAGTCCACCACTCTTCCCAGCAATCTGTACAAACTTTTTAGTGAACGAATAGTGATCTGTGTTGTGTTCTATTATCATCTCCACCCGTTATCTCAGTGTCCCCTTCTTGATTAATTTAAGCATGTCAAGCATACCGTTGATGACGTTAGATCCGGTTTTCTGCTTGACGATCGATGTTCCACAAGTCATCAAATTGTATGGGGTAGACATCAGGTTTGCCGTCAGAGCCTTTATCTATTGCTTTCACATCAAAGAGGATGACAGGGGAATGCCTCCCACACTCTCTACAGGACAGGAAGTCTAGAGGTGTCTCCTTCATGCCCATATAGAGTAGGAAGGGATCCCCTAGGGTTGGTAAGGTGGGGACTGTCGGACTCCTTTCGGAAAGATCGACTGTCTCGGATATGGGGTGTCCAAACAATGTCAGTCTGGTGAAGATGGTTTCCAGAAGCTGACAGTCTACAATTGTATGGTCGTTGTTATTGAACCGTGAACACCCCTTCCGAGACATCGGTGTATCGATATGGAGTCTGACAGGTGAAACAGAAATTAACATGTATGTCAACAGTCGTCACTGCCTCCTTCTGTAACCACCTCCCCTGGCTGGTTACAGTGTGTGCAGATTTGCTCGAAGTTTTGACAGGGATTTGACTGGTTCCGTCTTACACATGAGTGGATTCCACTCAGTGGAATGCGTTTGTTTTCCATCGCATGTTTGCAAAACCTCGGTAAAACTCGGCTTGGTAAAGTTTTTATCGTACATTTTGAACGTTAAGATCTGACGGTTTCGATTTAAATCAGTAAAATGTACTACTATGATATGCCTTCATACTAGTGATTTGACTTTACATACTGGCGATTTAGGTACTGTTAGTGTTAAACGACACTGCAATTCAAACATCAAGCATTTGTGAGATCAATAAACGTTGATAGAAGATAAACTGAAGTTTCACCCGGGTAACAGCTGATTATCAAGCCTGGAAACAAGTTATTTAGATGGATTTGAGCATGACGAGTGACGACATATGTAACTCGAGATCACACATAAAATCGGCAATATCCAAGTATCCCGATGGGCGACACGTGTTCACGAACAGTTTTTCCACTTGTACTAACCGATTTGACAGTGCTGCATGTCTTGATATCAGGTTTTTTGATATCAGGCTTCTTGATAACAGGTTTCTTGATAGCAGGAATGCTCTCAATCTTCGACTACTCTTTGGCTGAAAAACAATAGTTATTTCAATGAATGTATATACCAAATGAAAACGAATGTAGGATAGTACACATTGCTGCGATAAGTTATGAAGCGTGTAACAACATACATCGATTCTTTGACATTTGACAAGATATACTTACAGGAAGAAAATCATATGAGCTCGAACTGTATGTATCTTGGAGCAATTTGTTCATTTGTGATGAAATATTGTTCCTGGGAAATACTGTTTGACTTACATCTCAAAACTTATTTAATTTAACTGTTACTATACCTGCCGGCAGGTATAGTAACAGTTAAATTAAATAAGTTTTGAGATGTAAGTCAAAACCATGTAAATCTATTAAGTTGATCTACCAAATAATGGTATAGGTGGTGTCCAACCGTGTCCATGTCGACATCTGTCCGAATTTCGGATCATATTGTAATTTCAGTTCACATTCGTATTTCACAAGCTCACGGGTAATCTCGTGACGTTGCTCCCATTGTTCTAATGCTGATGTGATCCATTGAAATATAATCCTCGATATATGATTGACTAGTTGAGAACAGGAACGTCAGATCGTCCTAGCCGTAAACTTACAAGCTGTCGATCACATCACAGGACATGAGTACATGGGCAATTCCACGTAGTGTAATTCACACTTTGCACAAAATTTAGCTTTTAATTGCATGCTAATTGTAGGCTAACATTAGCAGCATGATAATATAAAGTCAGAATGAAGTTTAAACGTTTGTGATGATGTGGCAACAAAAGTTTAATGTCTATCTCTTATACTTTTTATGTGAGCGGCATTTTAAAAAGTAGGCGTTATTCACAGGCATAATTTGGTGTTTTAGAAATCCTGCCTTAAAATTGCAATTCGTGCCCCAGTGTAATAGCAGAAGTTACAATAAGGCTTGATCACAATAAAGTACACATTTTTTCAACTTCCTATGTCCTTCCTAACATAAATTTGTGGAATGTGTGTAGTACAGGGACAATATAGGAAGTAAACGTTATTCACATTTGGACGTAGTGTAACTCACACTCTGCCCAGTTGCTCTGTTTGTGCGTTGTATTGATGTTTGCTTGTTCTTGATTTGGTTGCTACTATTGTAAAATGGTGAAGTAGACTGACTATTACTGATTTTAAATTAGATTGACTACTAATTGGTCCAATTAGATACTGGTAATGGTGTAGATTACACCCTACTGCCATACCACAGTGGTCCGGGCGCCATACGAGGTAGACATAAGACATAGGCATGACTAAGTGGTATGATATACCACAAAACATGTTTTCTAGGGGTATCTTGCCCCAAAATAACGTTTAAAAAGGTTTTTAGAGTGATTAAATGGATATTTGACCTCAAATATTAATTTTACCTCATTTTTTGTCAAAAATTGCATTTTTTGGCAATTTTTGCCATTTTTTAGGACAAACTACAAAAATAAGTTGCAAATTAACTTTGGTAAGCATCTATAAGTTGATCTATCTGTAAGTATAGGACATTTAGAGTAATCCTAGAAAAATGTACAGTGTAATATTGTGGCATGATTTTTTTATGAGCTCTCAAAGGTTCATGATTAGACAGAAATTGGGTGAAATTTAGAACTTTTTGAATCCATTTTTAGACCATTTTATCACTTATATCAATTCTAAACTACTTCTTTGTGTTTTTAATGTGAAGAGGTCATCAAGAGCTTTAATTTGATACCTCTATACATGGTTTTTGATAAAAATTAGAATTTTTTGGGGCAAAAACACTGCTCTTTTGAGCAAAATTTAGTTACGTGACAAGAAAATAAGGTAATTTTAGCCCCAAATTGCTGATATTTTCTGAAAATAAGCCTTTAAATTACTCAAATAAGTGTTCCCAGACCTAACAATGACTATAAAACACTTTCAAATCAATTTTGATGTCCTAATCCATTTAAAAATCATTATTTTTGCGATTTAAGGTCTAAAAGTGGCACATTTTGCCCTGGCGGAACCCTAATTTCGATTAAATTACCAACACTTTCAGGCAGTTGTTGAAAATAGGTCCCTGGAATTACCCTGGAAGTATTGAAAGTACAATTTATTTCACAACAAAGCATTTAAACCACTTGTTTTATTAATTTTCCGCTGTGTAAATTACACTACCAAGCTGTGAATTACGCTACCTGTGAATCACACTACCTCTATTTTTTGCACTTCCAGTGTGACAAAACGAATGAAATTTTCTGACCTTTATAGATGACTAAAGTTGCCGTTAGAGAGAGAGTTACGAATCAAACAGACTTGTAGTGTAGCCACAGTAAAACATTTTTTACTATTTGGTAGCGTTATTCACACGCGAAGAGGAAAAATTTGATCATAAGACACTCAAAAAGTAAAGAAATTTGGCCCTCAAAATTAGGCTGGCCTTCTATCTGAAGCCCACTAGGTTGATATACAGGATAAAATATTGAATTCTACGATTAATAAAGCTCCCTAAAATCTTTCGGAAAATAACTGGATATTCACACTAAAGATACACTAAATTTAAGCCAACTTTGTCGCGCTACAGTTTTTAAACTAGGCTAGATATCAACAAACGGTTTTTGCCCCTGAAAATATGGTCAAATATCTTAAAGATTTTCTATCTCTCCCAAACCACCTCCAAACTTTATTATTTTGTTATTGGTTACCGTTATCGTGGAATTGCCCACATATAAGACAGCGGTATGTAGATTAGTTATCGCAATCCACAATTGCAACCAATCTTCAGTTTATCCCTGGACGCAAACAAGGCTCGGCCCGGAGAACCCTGTCCTGAATGGCTTCCGATACGTCTTCGACAAATAAAGAGATGATACCACCCACTGGAAATATTCGGATTTCCGAAAGGGTTGCAGAGCACGATTCTACCGTGGAGAAACAACTGATCACTCCTACTCCTGACCGCACTCACCCTGCCCACCATGCTGAAACGACCGTCCACGTCAGCAAACAGAACTTGAAAAGAAAAGCTTCTGGTGGAGATCGACCGACGAAATAACTCTTATCTGAATCAGTTGGTGGATTGGGTTACGAATCTAGAGCTGCCAGCTATCACCCCTCAACAGAATGGTACAGAGAAGCAGAAAAGCAGCAAACAGACACCTTTCTAACCCGAGAAACCCTTCTAATCTGGAAACCTTTCTAATCTGGAAACGCTCCCCATTCCTGCAAACTATATGCTCTCTACCGACAACGAAACAATGCTGCTCTGGGACTCTGGATGGGACGAAAATACTCGACGATCTTTCCTTTGGGGTACTGCTAAGAACGCAGATCATATAATATTATATGGCGGACGCGGAGCATTGGGTAGATCATATCTCAAATTGGAAATGTTACGTATACAAATTAGCGAGTAACAGTTCATGAGTTCAGATCATGTCTCTAATTGGAAATGTGTTGAAATCAGATGATGATTTCGGACAGATGCCGTTTTTTTCTGGTACCCTGATTCGGACAGATCTCGCTGTCGGACACGAGTTGTGTTACCGTCCATGTCACGGCGCAAAGGCTCAGCTCGTTGCACTTTTAACAATACCTAACAATTTTAATGATTGTGAACCACTTACAACTGGTTTAGCTGGCAACCTCTGAGGTATGGATTTCGTCTCTACTACACCGGCTAAACGTTTAATCTGCGGTCAGATGTGTCCCATTAGCTTCAATTAAAGTCTATAATTCGATCGTGATAGTTAAAGTTTTAAGAAACACCAATAAAAGCAACACTTTTGGTTCATACATTTACGTAAAAAGCATGTAACTTTTCAAGTTTGTTATAATATCAGATATAATGGTCACCACGTCATCATTCTATCGAGTTCAAGTTCCTGCAATTTAGACTCTTAAAAGGTGAAAATCGATGATATCAATCACAAACAATCTTCCTAACTAAACTTGTTAATAAAACAAAAGTTAATAAAACAAAAGTTAAATTTATTACCAATTATTCAATCAATACATATCATAAATTCTAATATTGGAAACACAATGCAAAATGGATGTCTTAAACTATAATTTCATTGTGACTAATAATCTATTGACTTTCAAAGTTGAATTTTAGTTAAGTATGAAATGCCACCACATCATAGTTAGGGTAAAATGTTATTTTTAAATTTTAAAATTGAGAAGATTGCTCTATGGCTTAAAATGTAAAATTCTAGCAAAAGATATCTTATTTTTAAATAGTTGGTTACAGTTTATGACAGTACTGGCATGACTAGTTTTATTGTGGCTGGTAAAAGGACCCAGTTGCCTGTAAGGGCTTTACCGAACCCCAGGGGACCACAATGTGATAAGATCAGGCCAGATGTTTCTATGTAGAGCAATTAATTTATTTTGGAGCTATGATTACGTGGTATAGCTGGTGGTCATGTTTAAAGGTCAGTTTATCCTTGTGTGCTAATTATCCATCCAGATGCTTAGTGATGTGGGTAAATCATGCCCTTCTACGATATATAATGTTTGACCATAAATTTGTTTTTACCACATAAACTGTGGCACTAATGTCAATTAACAATATTTACATTCATTGGTATTTAAAGCGTGTTTTTTCCCCAGCACTACTACACAACAAAAACCTGTCGGCCCACCGAGGAAACACGGTCGCAGAACAAAGAGCCCAATTGTGCTCTTCTATTCTGTGATCGTGTGTATCTACTATAAACTAGCTAAATATACTAAGAAAATTTAATGGAATCATTACAGTCGTTTGATAAGTTCACGTGTCAAAGTAATGTTCATGGTGATCATATTTTTTGATCCCCGGTGGGCAAACACTCGTCCGAAAGGTCAAGGCAAACCTGTCGATGTTTCACCATACGAAGTAAGGCGATTTGAACATATACTCAGCTTACAACTCAACCCATGGGACGAGACGTCGTGAGCCTCAAAATTCTTCAAAATATACAGCACATACCTAGTTAGCAAACACTAAACACAACATACATACGATACCAAATAATGTATAATGCCATTACTAATTCGAAAGAAAATATATCTGCTATCTAATTTAAAAAATTGAAGAATAAACCTGAAGAAAGGGGAAGGAGAGGGGTTTGGGAGAGGCAGAGTAGGAAAACAACAGGATCCTGTGCCGCAGGATTTTAAAATTTGTTGTATACAATATTTTAATTGTATAACTTAACAAAGACTTACCACTAAGTTCCCTACTGTAGCTTATGATATCAGTCAGTAGCTCTCCTTTCATTCAATTGTTTCAAAACTGACTTTCAGCAGACAAAGCTCCAAACTTTTGCTATGCAGTCTATACAATGTAATTCAGTTAATATAATAATTTCAATAGATTCAAAATTAAACAACAATAAATCAGTTTGGTAACACGACATCTGTCCGACAGCGACATCTGTCTGTCCGACAACACTATTTTCGTGTGTTTGAAGTGATATCTCAAATTTGGCACATAGAAATTTAATCAAACTTGCAAAAATTATTTGTCTTAAAGCTATCTTACTATCTAGAAAGTTTCAAGAAAATCATATCGTTGGATCTCCAGATATATGCTTTGGAACCACTGAAAACCACCGAATTGGATATATTTTTAGTGTTTAAGGTAATATCTTAAATTTGGCACATAGAAACTCGCTCAAACTTACACAGATTATTCGTCATATAACCACTATACTTTATGGAAAGTTTCAAGAAAATCGTACGGTAGGATCCAACATAAACTATTGTCCAAATAACCTATTTTCTGATTCGGACAGATGTCGCTGTCGGACAGATGTCGGCCAATCAATTGGAACCATCAAGGGGAATGAAATTAAATTATTGGATGCCAGGAACTAGAAATAAATATACTGGAATATTGTGTTTCCATGGAGAGGTCTTATTCTAATTGGAACCATCAAGGGGAATGAAATTAAATTATTGGATGCCAGGAACTAGAAATAAATATACTGGAATATTGTGTTTCCATGGAGACTGGAGAGGTCTAATTCTAATTGGAACCATCAAGGGGAATGAAATTAAATTATTGGATGCCAGGAACTAGAAATAAATATACTGGAATATTGTGTTTCCATGGAGAGGTCTAATTCTAATTGGAACCATCAAGGGGAATGAAATTAAATTATTGGATGCCAGGAACTAGAAATAAATATACTGGAATATTGTGTTTCCATGGAGAGGTCTAATTCTAATTGGAACCATCAAGGGGAATGAAATTAAATTATTGGATGCCAGGAACTAGAAATAAATATACTGGAATATTGTGTTTCCATGGAGAGGTCTTATTCTAATTGGAACCATCAAGGGGAATGAAATTAAATTATTGGATGCCAGGAACTAGAAATAAATATACTGGAATATTGTGTTTCCATGGAGAGGTCTTATTCTAATTGGAACCATCAAGGGGAATGAAATTAAATTATTGGATGCCAGGAACTAGAAATAAATATACTGGAATATTGTGTTTCCATGGAGAGGTCTAATTCTAATTGGAACCATCAAGGGGAATGAAATTAAATTATTGGATGCCAGGAACTAGAAATAAATATACTGGAATATTGTGTTTCCATGGAGAGGTCTTATTCTAATTGGAACCATCAAGGGGAATGAAATTAAATTATTGGATGCCAGGAACTAGAAATAAATATACTGGAATATTGTGTTTCCATGGAGAGGTCTTATTCTAATTGGAACCATCAAGGGGAATGAAATTAAATTATTGGATGCCAGGAACTAGAAATAAATATACTGGAATATTGTGTTTCCATGGAGAGGTCTTATTCTAATTGGAACCATCAAGGGGAATGAAATTAAATTATTGGATGCCAGGAACTAGAAATAAATATACTGGAATATTGTGTTTCCATGGAGAGGTCTTATTCTAATTGGAACCATCAAGGGGAATGAAATTAAATTATTGGATGCCAGGAACTAGAAATAAATATACTGGAATATTGTGTTTCCATGGAGAGGTCTAATTCTAATTGGAACCATCAAGGGGAATGAAATTAAATTATTGGATGCCAGGAACTAGAAATAAATATACTGGAATATTGTGTTTCCATGGAGAGGTCTTATTCTAATTGGAACCATCAAGGGGAATGAAATTAAATTATTGGATGCCAGGAACTAGAAATAAATATACTGGAATATTGTGTTTCCATGGAGAGGTCTTATTCTAATTGGAACCATCAAGGGGAATGAAATTAAATTATTGGATGCCAGGAACTAGAAATAAATATACTGGAATATTGTGTTTCCATGGAGAGGTCTTATTCTAATTGGAACCATCAAGGGGAATGAAATTAAATTATTGGATGCCAGGAACTAGAAATAAATATACTGGAATATTGTGTTTCCATGGAGAGGTCTTATTCTAATTGGAACCATCAAGGGGAATGAAATTAAATTATTGGATGCCAGGAACTAGAAATAAATATACTGGAATATTGTGTTTCCATGGAGAGGTCTAATTCTAATTGGAACCATCAAGGGGAATGAAATTAAATTATTGGATGCCAGGAACTAGAAATAAATATACTGGAATATTGTGTTTCCATGGAGAGGTCTTATTCTAATTGGAACCATCAAGGGAATGAAATTAAATTATTGGATGCCAGGAACTAGAAATAAATATACTGGAATATTGTGATTCCATGGAGAGGCCTAATTCTAATTGGAACCATCAAGGGGAATGAAATTAAATTATTGGATGCCAGGAACTAGAAATAAATATACTGGAATATTGTGTTTCCATGGAGAGGTCTTATTCTAATTGGAACCATCAAGGGGAATGAAATTAAATTATTGGATGCCAGGAACTAGAAATAAATATACTGGAATATTGTGTTTCCATGGAGAGGTCTTGTTCTAATTGGAACCATCAAGGGGAATGAAATTAAATTATTGGATGCCAGGAACTAGAAATAAATATACTAGAATATTGTGTTTCCATGGAGAGGTCTTATTCTAATTGGAACCATCAAGGGGAATGAAATTAAATTATTGGATGCTTCACATAGCCATGTGCCTACGCGTACTGCGTGACGCGCTTGTTTCACAAGTAGGATAGGCACATACAGATCAGCACACATAAGATGGTACGTGTGCGCGCGCGCAGTGCTGACAATTGCGTCGTATTTAACCCCGGGTGCACGTACATCGTGTGCGATGATTGGTCTCTATTTGAGGGTTTATGTCTATTCCAAGAAGTTTTTAGACGATGAAATCAGAAATACAGGAATTGTGGTACAATAAGAAATTAGAAATTTTAAAAATCCTACGATTGAAATACAATTTGAATTACAACAGGATTACATAAAAATATAAGTATTCTTTGTATATTATAAAGAAACTAAAAAGCCCGTGGTCACACAAAGGAAGCTAATAGTATTCTTTTTAGTCAGTTTTTATCGCATCAAAAATATCTGTCACGACCGAGTATACAGCCCATTAAAATATAGCTTGCAATGAACACAACGTATAATTACCACAACGTATAATTACCACAAAACCGATAAAAATGTCGTTTTAACAACTTTCACGTGGACGGTCGTACAATGTACAAAGATAATTTTAGAATTATAGTAGAGATAGTTTTACTATTTGAATTGCATGTAAATAATTTTCAAATGATTCTGTCATAAATGCTAAAAACAATTTCGTACATAAACAAATAATATGTACTAAATAACTAAAGACAATTTCATAGAAATGATTACGGAAGATTACAGATTGAAAGTATAAATGA